CGAAACGAACATTCGTTAGCCTCCTGAGAGACGTTCTTCGCAACGTGAGTGCTCGGCTCCTTCCTTATGTTCGCTCGAGTTTCGTTTTGTAGCTTTCGACCGGTACACCTATCTGGCACGCTCCTTTGATTCCCCGCGTGATTTGATCTCGGTTGGGAAGAGCTTTGCAAGAAGGAGGGGAGCCGGAGCTCGGCTCCGGGAAACACGCTGACTGCGCGCGGACGGGAGGAGCGGGTTTCCCTGCGTCGGCGCAAAGCGCAACAGACTTCGATCAGAGCCCATCGACGAGTTTCCTTCCCATATATTCTTGGAAATCGCATTTCATGCCTGGAGAACATCTTTGCGTCGTCACGCACGTTCCAGACAAATCTCAGGACAGACGAAACGTTTCCTGCGATATAGAAAGGCATTCGCTATCCGGGGAGGCAGAGAGGGCTGCAGGGTGATATAGAAGACTTGAGGCGAGATCGATGCATCGAAGCTGTCGAAGTTAACGTGGGAAGAGACCGAACGCTCCCCGATGATAAATAATTCCTTTCCGAGTTCCGCTGGAGGTTTCAACGCAATTAATTCGGGTACCCTTATAATTCTCTTCCGTATTCGCTCCGTATGATATGAACAACGTATGATATGATAGCTCCCGAGGTCTTAATCTTCAAGAGCAGCTGGGAGGGGAAGGATCAAAACTGCCAGAGGAGGGCAGCGGCGCTCAGTGGCCATCGAGGCTCCGAGGGCAGAAAACAGACGTGTGCTTCAGGACAGGGGGAACAAGACAGCACGAAGGACTCACGAGGCTCGAAATCAGGCGGTCGCGCAATATTTTGACTATCCGGAATCGAGTCTCTTGAGTACGGAACCATATCCACAGCTATTGGGGCCCGCACTCTCGCGTTGGATACGAGAGGCTCGTTTGTTCTATTTTCGGCTTCGTATATATCATTCATGCCACCGTCTGGATGCCGTCCCCCCTTCCTGATCCCCTTCTCCCGCTCTCTGTCACTGTCTCTTCAGGTACGAGATCAATTGCGAGATAACGGGTCAAACGAAGAGTACGAAGAAGGTCCCATTCACTTATTCAGACGAGAACGAGATTAGAACTTGCGTGCTTGATCGATCGGGGCCCTCGAAGAGCCTGTCTGCGAGGAGCTGTGATTATTATTGTTCGACTCTGATCTGCCCTCCGTGTCACCCGCCTCATATGACGCGTGTGGCCGCTGAGCAGAAGACCATGGCGCTCGGAAAATCAGTCGTCAGAGGGGGGAGGACGCCTATGCATGAGAAGTTCCAGATCAGAGCCGATTAGGATCGAACGCAATCCCAAAGGGATGAGCAACTCAAATATCAAGTACGCGGCTCTGGGGGACTTCTTGGTTTTCGACTTCGGATTTTTCCGAGTACATGAACCTTTATCGTGGTCTGCCAGCCATCCCTTCCGCTCAAGCGCTCCATCCTTCCGATTTGATTTATTCCTCTCCGAATTGAATTCACATAAACTAGTGAAGTGTACTCTCAATTCATCGATCATCGCTTGTGGCGGCGCGGCGTCCTCCCGGACAGTGTCGATGAATCTTCCGGGAGAAATTGGAGAGCGATAGAACTCGCGCTGGAGAGCAGGGTGTTCGAGTCTGAAAAATACTATTTTGAACGAGAGAGTCCGAAAGGCCAATCGTGTAGGGTAAAGTCGAATGAATCGATGGCTGGCCGAAGCCGGTGATCGACCACTCGATCGAGCTACGTCACCACACAGTGGAGCGCCTGGAGCTGATTCCAAGACGCAGAAACGCTTCCAATGAATTGCTTCGGAAGCTAAATCTCGAGGAGAACGAAGGCAAAGGCACGCAAGCGTATCACGGAAGGCAGGTCCGAGTTTCTCCGCATGAATACCCAATTTTTTGTCCCGTTATACAAGGCCCTTGTGTTCGAACGTCATCCGGCGCGGCGCAACATACATATTTCGTCCGATGTGATCACGAAAGTTTCGAGTTCAAGTCGACTGATCGACTTAAGGAACGGGGTGTGTCCACAGACTGGAGGCACTTATTTGCTCGTCCCGCGATCGATCAGTCCCGAGCTGATATATAATTTCTCTTCGAGGCTTTCGATGTACGGATATCGCGCGAGTCCTGAGGCTCCCGAATGCGATCCACGAGCGCTCTTCCGAAAAACTTTTTTCGTGATAATCATCTGGGGGTTTCGTTCGCCGGAATGACGAATATTGCCGGTCGCGATGTCTCGATATTCTCGTCCGGGGGCAGCTGGAAACAGGCCGCGTGGCACGCAATGCTCGTGACGGATCCACGGTGTTAGACGTGGCAATAAAACCACAATATGCATGTGTGTATTGAATGCAATCTATGTCGTCTTCGGAATGGTCCCGTAGCGTTCCTCCTCGACTCTGAGCCTGCAGTCCGCACACGTCGTTTAGCACCTCGACATCCGGTGGTGACGTCATCGTCACGAGCGGCACCAAGTTCGTGACGACATCACCAACGGAATCGTATATATACAGATAAATATAAAAATATTCATGTGTCTATGTGGATCGGCAGCGTTCGGGGAACGACACGTCGATTCTCGCCTCTCCGACCCGTGCTTTCTGCCTGAGCACGGGCCGAGCGAAACTCATGATAATATGTATAACATATAGGTGCTCCGAATTTTTTTTCGTCCCCGATGCACTCACAACCTCGACAGTTTCTATCCTGAGGAGGACACAGCCTTCTGACGAGGGCAGTTCCAGTCCTGATCAGAGCCAGTTGAGATCGGATTCAAACGGGATCGCTTCCCGAATCCTCACCAGGAGTCCGGAAAATTCCCAGATGGATGAAGCTCAATGAGGAATGATGTCGGCTGCGGCGATGCGTCGACGGAGAATCTTATTGAAGCTTCTCCTGCGGAATAGCTGACACGTTGTAGATGGTGTGGTGGAATCCTCAGAGGCATCAGCGGGGATTCCGTCAGGGGGTCTCGCATTTCTGACGGACAGACAGGCAGGCAGCAATTCCGTGTTTTTCGTGACTCGAAAGGAAAGGAAAAGCTTTTGGCGTCATTGGAGAGGCCTTTAATGGATGGCAGAGGATGCCGGCCGGTGAAAAATTGGGGAAATGACAAATGAGATGAGTGGCAGCGAGAATACAGGTCAACGCCGACCGCGAGGCCAGGTGGAAAGAGGTCATGAAATTTCCATTTCTCGAAGCGCCCCAGGCCGTCCACCAGCTTCAAGGCTGCTGACAATCGTAGCTTGTATGCCTGAGGGGAGAGGAAGGGAATCCTCTTACTATGTTGACCCTCTCGCGTATCGAGAGACCCGGATAAGCACACGGCAGGATGTAGTTTTTGCTGAATTTTCTAGTATCTGATCTGTAAGTCCGCGATGAGAGAGGTCGTTCTCGATCTCGCTCGTCGGCTGGAATCCCGCGAAGCTAGCCTGCTCCGTAAGGAGCAACGAGATCTGAATCTGGATTTTGAATCGAGGGATCAGAATTGAATTCGAGAATACGCAGGTCGACTGGCTCTCGACTTCGGACTTGGCTGGCGAGATGGCTTTGCCGTCCCCAGCGATTCCAATGAGACCCACCGTACAGAAAAGACGGAATAAAATGTCAGAGGAAAGATGGGGATCCGGGACAGAGAAGTGCGAAAATAGCAAATCTGGTATAAAGCAGCAGGGTGCTCCCAAGGTGAGACGAGAACACAGTAGAGAAGAAGTTCGGAAGGTGCGAGGAACAACACGGCATCTCCACTCAAACCAATCCTACACACGAGTCGTGGTCCATTATGCAAATTTCTCTATGCGGAATGAAGGTGAGAAGGATCTATGTTGCCGAGCGCGTAGCTCCGAAATACATTCCCCCCGTCGAATGAACTCACGTGTTCCCCGGAGCAAAGGCTATCTAGTATCCGTCACTGATAGCAGTCGGAGTCGAGCAGGCTAACGCTTTTGCGGAGGGCAAGAATCATCCATCCGTCTCGAGTCATTAGGAACATTGGGAGGGCGCGTTGCCAAATTATACGCTGTTTTTCTCCTTCGACTCGTTTTGTGAGAACCAACGAACGGGGAAAGTCCGTGTACGACCTCGATGGCGGGACTCGCTGCGAAGTGGAGCAAACTTAACGAACCCACGACAACTCGCAGCAGTTGCGCGCTTATAGCCCACTATTTCGCTCTTCATCTGTCTATTACATGTTCTGCGCAGACATCGCGGGATAGGAGGACGGCGGGCAATGTTCTATCCGTAGAAGCAGCACAAAAATTGCCTCGATCAGGAACGCTGAGTAGGTTTGCCCGCGAACCTTCATCCCGACAGCAGCTACTTTTTGCTCCGCCGCTACACCTTTATTGTCCTCAGTTTCCTCGTCGTTTACCAGAATCATATCTTGCGGCCGCTCGGCGAGTTGGCTCCCTTCCTCACCGAAAACAGTGGCATTTCGAGAAGGGAACAGCCTGAAGGAACAAGCGGAACAAAGCTATTTGATGAGTTACTGATTCGCCTACAAGTTTTCACCATCACCGGCCCGAAGTGTTCACGGTCTCCGGGAGATTTCCAGCCTTTCGGCTGAACTCTTCAGAGTTTCGAATTCGCCGCGAAAGAGCTTCGCCAATCCCGACATGTCGTTTGGTAATCGTCCCCGAGATCGATGCAGAGCTTGCTTCTCGCTGTCGAATAATGGGCTCCCTCAATTACACGGATTCCATCACGAGGGTGGCATTCGTCTGGAGCGCGAGATCGATGAAACTCGGAATTCCTCGTTTGAATTCGAAATCAGAAACCTCAAGCTCGCTCATTAGCCTGCCCCGAGACTTCAAAACCCGATCGAATAAACACTTACAATTTGATACGGAGCTATCGACACGCGGACCCGAGCTATCTCAGCTGAGAGGGAGCGAGATCGGAATTTGGTTTCCGCTGCTCGCAGAACTCGATCGGTATTCGTGTTCCGCACTCGAATCATCGGAGGAATCGGTGATCGGAGCTAATCGTTCTTCTCTTAACTTTCAGTGATACAGATGCCAGCGACCACGCGATAGGCTCCAACCAGATTCAGATAGATGTCAACGGAGCCTTGGTAAGTTTAATTCTGATGAGAGGAATGATTACTGTCGCTACTTCGGATCCTACTAAGTTGGCAATCGCTCCGTTCGGATGAGTTTACTTGTGCTCAGCTTGAATTAGAAAACGGAAATCAGACCGCCGGTCCAAGTTTCGATACGTTCAATGTAGCTCGACTGAAACACCTGGCTTCCGTTCGACTTCGGTCCCAATACCTTCCGCGGTTCGATACCAGCTTCGCAATTCCTTCCTGTTCAAACTTCTTAGCTAGTAATTCCCCATGCAAGGAGGAAATTCCCTCACTCATCATGGAGAAACTTTTCTATGTCTTGTTCGTCTCTCAGTCAGCGCACAAGAAAAACTCTCGCCAGTAGTTCACGAAAGTTGGGAGCGATATTCCCCGAAAAGGGACCTTTTACGGACATGGCCTCGGGAGATCGTGCGTCGACGTGGGGATCTTTCGCGAGACGGGGCGTAATTCCGCGATTCTCGCTTCGTTTTTCCCGTTTTCCTCGGGAGCATCATGAAAAATATTGATTCCTGTTCCCTTGGCCACTCGGCGAGCGGGATGAAGCGGTAGGGTTCCTCACGAGCGCTTACGTCATGAAACCGGCATTCGGATTTCTCCGTCTGGTGGGTGAATGGATGGGTATGTGGAGGTTCAGGCTTTGGACTCAGATTTTGCGGAGAGCCGCGGGCGCTCCCGTATACTGTACGTCGGCCCTGTTCAAACTCCTCGAGTGCTGAGGTCAAGTTGGCGAAATATATGCCTTTGTTCACTGGAGCTTTCAAGCCGATAGCATCCGGTTTCGCTTCCCGATCGCCAACGTTCGCCGCGTCAGCCTTCACGGCTGTCCATCTATGTGTCCGTCTGAAGGTTCGTTTGTGTGGCCTTTAGATGATTGATTGCAGTTTCATTGCCGAGCGTAGATCAAACTTTTCAAAGTTGGACCCGTCAAGGAGAGATTTGATCTCATCGAACAGAGACGAGCAGTCAGCCGATCAGCGTCCCACTAGTGCTGCCCTCTCCCCCTTTGGTAGATGTGCGTCAGGTCGAGTGATCTCAGAGACTTGGACTCAGAAAGATAGATTGGGGGAGGGGGGAAAGTTTCGAGACCATACTTTCTTGCCGGTCTTCTGGCTGACTTGACTTGGTTCTCGATGTGGATCAGCTCCACAGATCTCGCCGAGAAGATCGATATCTGCCTCCGCTCCTGAGGCGATTTTTGATGCTATTGAGAGGATAAATATTCGGCAATGGTGGAGTTTTTTTCTTCGCGCTGTCTCGACGTACATGGCTGGCAAATATCGTGATCGAATTATCGAACGATCGCCTCCAGCAAAGTAGATCTCGGATCATCACGGAACCCATTGCGAGTTACTCTTCTAGAAACGGAATGAGTTCACGCGCTGATTGAGCTTGCCTCATCTCCGATCACCGCTGCGTACCTCTTAGACCGGCATTCTACAGTTCCCCCCTTCCCTCGTGAGACACATCCCGATGTGAGCTTTCGGGAGAAGTGCTAGTTGAACACGATTGCTCGATTCCCTTCTCTTCTCGCCATGCCGAGCTCATCCTAGGAGAGAATATGGATTCGGTTATGAGATTAGAGACTACGCGTAGTGCCAGCAGCGAGGTGTCAGTGACTCCCGAGTAGTTTCCCTCGACCATCCGGGGCAAGGAGGAGGCGGAGGTTTCATTCTTGTTTCCCGTCGTCGGAGAAATGCGCGCCAGACACCAGGCCTGATCTTGAACCCTTTGGAGGTTTGGAGGGCGCGCTAGCGCGTCTAAACCGCCGGCGGCGAGTAGAATCTAACCGCGCACGCAATGGTTCGTATACGCACGAACGGCGTGTTCATTAAACTCGTTCGTGTGGAAATAACCACTTCATTGTGTGCTCTGTTACTCGCCGCACTTCCGTGGGTTGCCACTTAGTTCACTTTAGTAGACCGAGCGTCCTCAAAACGGTAACAGCTAACTAGAAGCTAAGTTTGGGGAATAGGCTCCCAGCGCCCGGCCGCGCGCTCTTTGGCTTGCATGATTAATCACGATGACGATGACGCTTCGGTGGACCTAGAGTAGCTCAAAGGCATCCGCCATGATGATGAGCGTCATAACATGAGGTTGCGGCTCAGGTGGAATTAGAGCCGAACATTTCGGTTAGCTCGCCGAGGCATACCCACCTGCGCGAGAATCACAGTGAATATTCCGCCGGGATCGGCGAAGGAGCCGGGACCGACTAATATAATCATCTGAATCACGGCAGCTCCCGCAAATTCTCTCGCTAGAGCTCGAATCTCGAATCAATAATCCGCAACTATTCGTCGGGCTCGCAGATGCTCGTCGAGACTGTCGGGCGCGGCACGCGTCCGTTGATTCGAACAACAGCTGTCAGAAGCAGAAGGAAACGCAACGAAACACCCGTGCCAAAGCGGTAGATGCAAGAGCTTATCCCAAAGGCACAAGGCTCGGCACCGAGACGATCTGGGAACCGAAGAAGCTGGAAGTTACTCTAATTGCGGCACAATCCTGCGATTCGCGATCGTCCGCTGGGGTTCGCATTGAATGCTGTAATTAGAAGTAAACCTGAGTTTCGAATTCAAAGCATCCGATCAGCAACGTCCGGGAAAGAAACATTCTCCTTGAAGAAATGATAATTATGAGTTTGGTCAAGTCATCTCTGAAAGATTCGAGTCGGATCCCATGCGGGAACTCTATGCCAGAGCTTTCAACATTTCATCGACGGATCGCTAGGATGATAGATATGTGCAGACAAGAGCGTTCGAATCCCGGGAGAGGGGAAACTGCTCCAGAAGTGAAAACTTCTCGGAAAACGATCTCTCTGTAACATGATTTCCCTTGCGTATTTCAGGACCAGCAAGGAGCGTGCACGTCGGGCCGACAGCACGACGAGACCAACTCGCTGTATGGAACACCCAAGGAAGAGTTGGCACCCGGTTCGTCGGTGATGTTGGGAAACAACAACCACAACATGGGAGCTGGAAACACCCCCCTGGCTGCTCCGGGTCAGGAGGTCAAGGCTTCGTTCATGCGGAATCAACTGGAGGCGTTGTTTCAACCATCGGACAACAAGCTTGCTATGAAACTATTCGGCTCCAAAAAGGCGCTGATGAACGAACGCCAACGCCAAAAGGCGGCCGGACACTGGGTGATCCATCCCTGTTCAAACTTTAGGTGAGCACCGCAGTCGTCCGAGATCATTTTGCCGGCTGGAGCTTTCCTCCGTTGCTCTCGGTCAGCGGAGAAAGAAATCTCTCAGCCTGAAAATCGTCCACCTCAGAAGCAGGATCTCACCGATAGCGCCGTCCCTCTCAGTGAAACGGACCCGGGGTTCCCCGGACCCAAAACGGAGACACGTATATACTGGTGCTGCATCGAATCAAATATCTATCAGGCTTGTGAGATATTCACTTCTTGAAGAACGATGCTCGGAGCCAATTCTGCCTCCAGACCCGGTTCGACCCGTTGAAAAGCAGCGATGGAATCGGCGCCGGTGGCCACCCTGAGGAGATATCGGCTTTTCGGATCCCAGCGCGAGATTCAAACATATCTCCACGTGCCAGCAGCGGAAAAAGAGATTTAGTCCTGAATTCAATCTTGTGCCTGAATATCGAGACTTCAGATGTCCGGATAGATCTACAGCATCCGGCAGGGGTTGATAAGCCGGAGAAGGTCACGGGGGAACGCTCTTTCCTCGCTCAGAAGCTTTCTGTCTGTTCGAGAGCCCGAGTTCCGTACGCCGGGCTTCCCAACGGCGCCGGGGAATGAAGCTGCCTCCGCGGCCCCGAGAGTGATCTATTGTCTCACGGAATTCCGGGATACGGACCACGCACAGAGCATCGCAATTTTCCGCTAGCATCGCATGGGAGGTTTTACATATTTTTTCAAGATCGATTGTATTCTCGTTCCTTAGCGTTTCGCGTTCCCCCTCGGAATCGGCCCATCGTCTCCTATAACCGCCTCACGAGCGTGTGGCCTGGAAAAGTTTTTCCTCTCCTCCAGGCTCGCTAAAACGGGAGCGGGTCCGTGAGCTTCAAAAAGTTGACTAATTACAATCTCAGGAGATGCGAGTCGAGACGAGGGAGGACGCATGAAAAACGTGAGCCGGCGCGGACGCGGGAGACTTTCTTCCCGCTAACTGCTCGCATCTTGGCTGGCCCTGCCCGGTGGAGCTCCCGTGGACCAAGGGAAATTCTCTCGAAACCGCACCACGCGTGGCCTCATGACGAGTTCGTCCTGGAGTTTCCCGAGCGCTCGACGACGTACCAGAAACCATCAGGGAATCCATAGAATTTCCTGTTCAACTCCTGCGCGATTGCATGAGTATGGAATCGGCACCCGACTCGAAGTTAGATTCCTCTCAAGCGATGCACGGAAGACTCAATACGCGAGTCCTGTTTTGCCTCGAATTTTCGTTCTTACGTCTGATACGTACGAAGTTTTTCTCTTCCATGAAGAACAGGGATCGCACCGTCGAGCTTTATGAGCTCAGAAAACCGCGCTGGAGTCGGCCTCGGAAACGAGAAAGGTCAATTGAACTAAAACTGGCCGGAGCGTGTTCTCGCAAGGAGACGAACGACGACGAGTTGTTCGTGCCCTAAGCCGGAGCCTTTGCGCCGTGGCACGATCCCTCGACGGCCCAGTGGTGGAAAATGGAGTCGGCTATGCTTCGTGCAGCTCTGAATCGATCGATTCCAGCGATAAGTCGATCTCTGCAATGTTCGAGGCTCGCCCCCTCCCGCCTGAGTTCTCTCACTGACTCGTTAGCACCGGCTCCAGTATAGTCCAAGTTTTCCCAAAATGCTGCATACAGCTTGTGATTCTTGTGAGCTTCCGTATGATGCGGGAGGAAAATTTGTGAGTGAGATCGCCGTGTGGAATTTCCTCGCACAGGCACCCCGCGATTCTGACGGCTTCAGTCCCCTAATTCGGAGCCTCCCGGAATCGAAAATCAGCTGATTTCTCCGGATACTTCACAGCGGAATCGACTTAGCTCGCTCTAACCGATGACAGTACAACCAGGAGCATTTCTCCATGGACGAGGATCCTCACTATTGATTCTCACCCAATAATTGTCTCGATAAGGGGAAGGCTTTTCCTTCCGAACAGCGAGTGCTGCACTTCTCAACAAAGCCAGCCACTTGTTGCCGGGCCGCGTCAAAGATCCACGGAGAGGGAGGAGAATCGAGGACGGAGCCGCTGGGAAAATATATAGGCCTCGTCCCGGCGGGAAGATAACAATGAACGACTCACTTAAGCTGCGACGCAGCAGCGATCCAGGGAAACAGGCCTTCGGGAGTAGAGTCAGGCACCTACGTACAGGCGGGAATCCATTCACGGAGCAGGCTGTTCTTTCGCGTCTCGATAAGCAATCCGTGTTTTCATCCAGCTCATCCTCCGAAATCCTCCTCGCACTCGGCATCCTCTCGAGAAGTGTCTCTCGAACAGCAGGAACGATGAGCGCTCGTCGAACCAACTCCGCATGGTTCTCTCGAGGCGCCAGCGCTCGGTGGATATCCTGCGAATTCTGTGGTCCGCGCGGGAGCTCTATACGCGGCCGAGACCGATGGGAGGCCCCCGTCGGCGTCGTTGGAATTCGTTTGTTTGACGTGACTTCGCTGAGTTGAGATTGCGCAGCCTGGGCCACCTCATCCGTCGATGCCGATTACGGATTCCAAATTCTTGCACGACTTTTATTCTCGTAGGCGTTCGAACTTCTTTCGCTCGATCGTCTGCCATCGAACGCTCGTTATCGATGTCGAATCGCATCCGACACATATAGATGGTGGAGTTAAGATTGCCGAATGTTCAATCGATTCGAGAACAAGCTCCGTGCGTCCCGTGGATCGTACCCCAATCGGTGGAGGCCCGCAGAATCGATGTCTCACGCGGAACGGTCTCTTGTGATCGTCCCCGATGCAATCTCACGGAAAGAATCTGATGATGATAGGAATCTCTGATCACAGCGAGGGCAGCACGGGATACCGCGGAGCTGAAGAGTGTCATTCGAATTTGCATTGAAAGAGCCCACGACCCTCATTTGAATCCTCAGAATATAATTTGGGATTTGGATCAACCTGACATCAAGTCAGAATACCTAACCTCCAGAGAGTCCCTCGCGTAGTCTCGATCCCGATAGGGAGGAAAATTCGAGACCGCTAAGTTCGCCGCTGTAGCGCGTCGGGAAAGGACTTCCGACGGAGTCGGGCTTTATCCGCACGTTCGTCCCCAGCTCCCAGCGGCTCGAACAGCATTCGGAGCGCACCGGGGAAAGAGGGAGAACAACATGACTGAGAGGCGCCCATACGGTACTTTAAATTCTGATGCAGGTATGCGCGGATCTCTGCGAAAAAAAGTTCTCAGCTCGAGAGTCTTGGGCTCCTGCAGGTCACCGTCAACGTCGACAGGGACTCAGCGAGCGAGCGGCGCGCTCGTTCTTTGCGTTTTGCGTAACAGTCACAGGAAATCAGAGTCCATGTCGAAGGTGTCCGGGTGACAAGAAGCGCGAAGTATTTTCTCCAGGGAAGGGTCCTGACCTTCTCTCGGAAGGCCCGATGCGGCTACCCGAAAATCTAACGTTCGGAGTCCTCGTCAGCGCTCCCGACCTCTCCCAGGAGGGTCCTCAACGATGGTCGCTCTCATTCGTGTGGAATCGCGCGGCATTAGTCTCGTGGAGGGCCTGTAATGGTATCTCGCTGTTATACTGATTCTTTTCTCCTTTATTTTCAGATTCTACTGGGACTTGTGCATGTTGACGTTACTCGTGGCGAATCTCATAGTGCTTCCCGTGGCCATCTCGTTCTTTAACGACGATCTATCTGCGCGGTGGATAGCGTTCAACTGCTTATCGGACACAATCTTCCTCTTAGATATCGTTGTTAACTTCCGCACGGGCATAATGAACCAAGATAACTCAGAACAGGTGAGGCGCCGTCATCCGAAATTTTTGGTCAATTATTATCGCCTTTCGAGCAGCATGGAAGCAGAAGAGGAATGAGAACGATGACAGGATGGATGGGATTGGGGGATGCTCGCAAGCGGCACCACATGTCTGAGAAAACCTCGGAGCTCTTCGCTCGCTCCATGTCGTAAATTCACGCTCGACGGAATCGGAGCTGATGCCTATAAAAGCAAAAACATAAATCTGATCGTCAGAGGGCAGAGCGCGACTTCCATTTAGGATATCGGGAACCCCTATGACGCAGATCATTGTACATCGAATTCATTTTGATCTCGTGCCGGAGCGCAGGCCGTCCGGCTATTCCTGGATCGTGTTCCGAATTTCGGAACCTGTCTCGCAGCAATTCATCATCCATAAATGTCCGAAGGCGGTTCAAACGTATTTCCATAACGTGTACGATGGTGATAACAAAACTTTGAACTGCTCGCAATGCCATGCCGGTCGTTGATTGCATTGATCGTCAACGATTTCGAGCAGGGCTGCCCCCGATGTTTGCCGTGAAGTCGGACAACGCGTTCCAAGATCGCTGTCGATGTCGGTCGAATTTGTGTGAACCGAGGCTTCCTAGTGACCTCTCACAAGAGAGATTCGTTCAGGATTGTTAGAGATTCGTTCGCGGGCCATCTCGTAGTGAACTCGGCCAGTCGTTCGATATTGCATGCGATTCTCGTGGGGAAACCACACCGCTCGTGAGAACCTTGACTCCGAGATCTTTTTCGGCCTTGGGACGTTTCGCTCATTCAAGTCTCATCAGTTCCTGGAGGGGAACACGGCCATTCTCCTTTTCGACATTGATATATACTCGATGAAGGCATATCGAGGATCTCAAGGAGAGAATCCGCCGTGGAAGTTGAGCCTCCCCGCAAGGGATTCGATAGGGGAGCCCAGGGCGAGAACCGAGAGCTCAAGGGAGCCGCACGACTACTTTCTGTCCTCACTTCCTTGTTCCGACCCTTATTTACCTGAACAATTCACTCTGGCTCATGAGAACAGTGCGGAAAGGAACCGAGTGGAATCCGTTTCTACCACCAGTGCTTTTCTAGGTGATTCTTGAACCGAAAGAAATCGCGCACCACTACATCCGGTCGTGGTTCTTTCTTGATCTGGTATCATCGATACCTCTCGACTACATCTTCCTGATTTTCATCCAAGACTACCAGGATGTGAACACGTATCTTCAAGCGGGACGTGCGTTGAGAATTCTCCGTTTCGCGAAAATGCTGAGTCTTTTACGACTCCTACGCCTGTCCAGATTGGTCCGATATGTCAACCAGTGGGAAGAGGTGAGTGGAATATCGATGGAAGATCTCATATGATCGGCGGGGGAGTTCCCCGTGTTCTCCGGCCGAAGATTGCCCCAAATCTATGAGAGAGATGACATGTAGAGCCCCTCGAATCGAAAGCATTGATCGCCCTTCACACCCTCGTGGACGGATTATCGGCTGTTCCGAATTCGCTTATTATGGCTCCCACACTCTGAATGGGGCTGGATATACATATATTCATGAGGACATCATTGGCGCATCTCTTATGCTATCGACCATTCGTTGGAAGGAGCAGCTTGATGTATTCGATGACCCTCTTAAACGAAGTCGATTTCGGCGTTGACTCGTGTTTCACAGCGAGCTGCGAGAGGTTCAGAGGGTGATTCTGTATTTATCGATCAGGGTAGAGCCAAATTCTGAGCGCGGACCCGATATCTCAATTGTGATCTCTTGCTTCCGCGCAGGTATACTTCCTGAATATGGCATCAGTTTTCATGAAGATCATCAACCTCATCTGTATGATGCTTCTGATCGGCCACTGGAGCGGCTGTTTACAATTCCTCGTACCCATGCTGCAAGGGTTCCCTAATAACTCTTGGGTCGCTATCAATGACCTCACAAAGAAGGATTGGTTCGAGCAGTACTCGTGGGCCCTTTTCAAGGCCATGTCGCATATGCTGTGTATAGGTGAGTGTTGGTAAGCCGATCGGCTTCACGGTTCCTTCAATCGATGAATCATCATTTCTAACTGCGTACAACCGTATTTCGAGCTGGTCCTCGTTGTGTCCGACGGATTCAGGAACGCGATCCCTTGTTTCGGCGAAGCTAATTTCGAATAGTAGTCTAGACTAACCAGATTGCATGACACACGACGACCCAGTGATGTAAGCGACCGAAGGTCGAATTCGATACATGCACGAGCGTGGTACGAGTGACGTGGCTCAATTTGACGTGTGAGACGTGAATGCCGTGGAGCATGGAGCGTAGACTGAGGCAGCGCGGCGCCGTTCTCGATTCCCCTATTGCAACCGTAACCATGGTTGGTTCCTACGGCTAGAGGTGACGGCGGTCATCTCGCGGCGTGGCTTCTAGCCCCCTTGTCGCTGTAAATGTCCTCGTGCCGATAGCAAGCAGCTGGACGAGTCAAGTTGCTGGACACCGAACAGAGGCCGGCTAGCTGGAGAGCTAAACGACATCCGCAGCAAATGTCGCTACAGACCGATAAGCAATGCTATGAAGTTGTCGACCTTCACCGCAACGCCAACATCACCATCTACGACACCGACGACGACGACAACAACAACCACGACCAAACTTTATGAGTCTTCCTGTCTCCCTTGATCTTTTCCCACAACGATCCCCTCGTTCCACCACTCAGACACCCTTCCGGTGTCTAATGCCTTCTTGGTAGTCGCCAATCCGATCCATGAGCGCAGGGAGGCGGAGGGGAATCCCGGCGAATGCAGCCCGCTCGTTGATTAACGAGCTGATAATTAGAAAACTGTCGGTGAGAGATGATCGTGTCAATGTGTACGCATCTCGATCCGACGCGACGGTCGGTCGGTCGCCGGCAAGGCGACAGCTGCTCACGAACGCGTTTTGTCTGTGCTCGTGGATCATTCGGAGCAAGATACAATTTACTTGTGGTGCGACGCCCGCTCGAATTCCCTGTGCTCCGATGATACCGAGAAGCGCCACTGGATGAGCATGTTTCCAGGAGAGAAGCTAGAACGCTGGCATTAGCGTTGTTCGCTTCATCGCTCTTGCTGATACGAGACTCCGCGCGGGAATCGAGGGGAAACTTTTCCGATTGTGAATGCGAAGCGGTACCGCAGCTCCTTCCCATTCTCCTGCGCGGAGCAAGCTCGAGGGGCGCAGCAACGGTCCGCCAGACTTGAGCTCTTAATTGGATTTTAATTCCCCCGCAATTATGCATAACGTCAGATCCGGAGCTGTGTAGGCAGGTCGGTCCACCTGAGCAGCTGGCAGCCTCGCGGACTAAGAAAAATATCTCCCTTGCGTCGAGGCCGAGTACGCGATTGTGCTTCTCGAATTCTGCTTTCGTTGACTTAGCAGCTCGCGAGGGGAAGGTCCTGAGATGAACTCGTACTCCCCTGGAAGCTCGGCGATTCGGGTTATTCTGTGGCAATGAGGGAATCGGCCTCGCGAAGACTCCTTGTCGCAGAGGGAATTTTCTTGCACCTGCACGACGGCGGCGGCGCTCAGAGCGCGGCGCCTCGACCAGAATGAGAATCTTTGAGTTATTCGTTCCTTCCCGGAAGTCGCTGAGGCTGATCGACGCCGGAGAATCTCTCGCCGCTCAAGTACGTACAAAGAAGCCACTCGCGGGCGGATTGCGACAGCCAAGCATAGATGTCGTCAGGAACCTCGCTTTCGGCTGCAAAATGCCACTCTCGGCTTGAAGACGCAATGCCCTGGTCGTGGATCTCCCGGGTCCGGGATAGACCTTTGAACCGATGGAGGTGCTCAGATTCAATCTATGCTTCTAGAAACTTCTGGTGTGATTCCCCCACCGATGCTGATGAATCCGACGAAGCAACTTGTCGAAGTTCAGTAAGGCGCTGGACAATGTCGGATTGGATCCATTTCATTATTCTGCGCAATCATCTCATGAAAACGCATAGGCAGTAGGTCCTACAAGGCTCGAAGCCTAGTTGCCGGCGGCATCGTAGACGCTCCCTTTCCGCGTCCTCTCTTCCCCTGTATGTACATTCTGCCTGAGCTCGACTAGTGAGCCAGGGCTTCAAGGAATCAGATCCGCAGTGATTGCACCGACGCGACGGGTAGTGGGAATCGTCAGTCTGTTTCGATTGATAGCGTCCCTAACTTCTGCATGCAACATCGCGCCGATGCCGGAGGCCGCTCTTTCAGTTTGCGCGGAAAGTGGATCCCGAGACGGAGTTCGCTTGAAAAAAACGATGAGGGAAATGGGAGGCAGGCCTCCGATACGTGATATGCGAGAGGCTCGTCGAACGCTTCGAGCATACACTTATGCATAAACAAACGACGTTCTACGCACTGTGGGGATAGGGGGGAGACTCCATGTTCCTCAAAGAAATCGAGCTCACCAGGTCTTCGGCCGAAACTCTTTCTTTCTCTCCTCTTCTCTAAAGAGCCATACTGATTTCGACAAATTCGACCTGACCCCGTCGGTTTACGGGATCGAGTTCGGGTTTTTAGAGTTTCCCCGTCAGGGTGACGTGTCGGGGAGATGAGATTCCTCTGCCGCATGTTTCCTGATATTCACGGAATGACTTCCTGTCACGGAACTCCGAAAATCTTCGGCTATCCAAGCGGACGGCTGAGGGAAAGTTTCGGCCAACCGGAGCTATTGAAAGGGTCATCAACATTGGAATCTTCCTCTGCAGGGTACGGACGCTTTCCGCCCCAATCTGTGACCGACATGTGGCTCACCTTGCTCTCAATGATTTCTGGCGCCACTTGCTACGCTCTGTTTCTCGGTCATACGACGAACCTCATCCAGTCGCTTGACTCCTCTAGGCGACATTATAGAGAGAAACTGAAACAGGTTGAAGAATACATGGCTTATAGGTGAGTTTTTGAGATGAAGGTCAAGACTTCGATAAGGAAAAGCCGAGCATCGGGAGTTCGCTGAGAGCCCGAACAGAACAGCGCGACTGATAGTTATGGGTGACGGAGCTAAGCACCACGCTCTTTGTGGTGAGAACAATCATGTCATATCGGGCTGAAAAGATCTTCGGGCTGACACATGGAACCGCATCTTCCGAACCCATGTCACAATGGCACACTCGGATAGCGGCCGCATCCTTCGCCGCTCTCCAGGCCTGAGTATCGGCGGTCTAATTTATCCGCTGAACCAGTCTAGTTTAGGTTTGTCGTGAACCTTCGGATGATGAAATAGGCCCCAGCCTATTACTCATACTCTCATCCCGTGGGAAGATGCGGGAGACGCGAGAGACTGCAACGGATGAGCCACCTACTTCAGTGATCTAATTGGCTAGCCTATCAGGCCCAACGGTGCCTGTTTGTGACGTTTCTCCTTTATCCTTTCCATCTCCAACTCGTCGTCATCAGAAAACTTCCAAGGGACCTTCGTCAACGAATAGCGGATTATTTCGAGCACCGATATCAGGGCAAATTTTTCAATGAAGACGATATTCTCAACGAACTCTCCGAGCGACTGCACGAGGATGTAGTAAACTATAATTGTCGCTCTCTGGTCGCGTCTGTGCCGTTTTTCGCGAATGCTGATCCCGACTTCGTCTCTGACGTGGTGACGAAACTCAAGTATGAAGTGTACCAACCCGGAGACCTTATCATCAAAGGTAAGCGGAATCCGCAAGCAATTGATTCAAGTGAGGGACGGAATCATCCGTCAGCTGAGACTCCGAGTCTCTCTCATATTTCGAACCATGATGAGGGAGTATTTCCTAGCGTGTCGGAAGACGGCCAGATCCCCACGCATTTCACGTTCCGAGCAAACAAGGCCCGTCCTTCGCAACGACACGCACGGGAATTTCGATTTAATGCTCAATGTCGAAACCTCCTTATGAGATGAAGGAGGAAGAAAATCAAGAGTCTCTCAATCCAAAATACGTCATCAGCATGAACTTGATGTCCGCGGACAACCTCCCGCCCCGATATCATTGGAGCCGAACTAACTTTTCGTTCCAACCTTTCCTCTTGCAGAGGGAACTATCGGTACAAAGATGTACTTTATCCAGGAGGGCATCGTGGATATCGTAACGGCGAGCGGTGAAGTGGCGACCAGCTTAAGTGACGGTTCATACTTTGGCGAAATCTGTCTCTTGACCAACGCGCGAAGAGTGGCCTCCGTTCGGGCGGAGACTTATTGCAATTTGTTCTCTTTGTCTGTGGAACATTTCAACACGGTGCTGGACCAATACCCGCTTGTAAGGCGGACTATGGAGTCCATCGCTGCCGAACGCCTAAATAAAATTGGCATCGACCCCAGTATCGTCGTCAGTCAACACTCCGACGGAGATTTGCTCAAGGTAAACTATTTACAGAGCTCTAGAATCCACGATAGACCGGATGAGTTTAGTCCATTATACCCCGTTGAGATCCCTAAGCTGGATAGGATAGAATGCCTGCTCGGAACGACAGGTGCACTGCGCAGCGTTTCGGACAGGTTTCACATGGATTAGCGCATATATGATAGACTAATCAGTCGGTTGTCTAGCACCGCCGGGTAGCTCAAGAGCAGCCTGCCTAGCCTAATTCGAATCATCACAACGGACGCCTCTGAGCCGAGGACCCCGTTCGGACTCCTCTTCGTCATGTCCCGGGGGACAGAATCGGAGTTCGAATCCTGAATTCATGTAGCCAATCGGAAACTGTTGTGAGCGACTATCTCTATCGAATCTCAATTTTCGCAACGGGATGCGAGCACCTCTGTCCAGCGACGGATCCCCTTTGATTCCCGCTCTTGCTCAGAACTAGGAATTACTTTGAGTCTGACGCGAAGACACGGGCTCTTCAGGCGCAGGCCTACGGCCTACCCATAGCTAATGAGTAGGGTTGCGATATGAGAGAATTTCCCCCGCGGAAAAAAACGGCGTTTCCTTCATGAGGAAGACCGTAAAATCAGGAGCATTCGCTTCAAGATTGAGAGCCTAATGCGGAGCGCGATGGGTCTAACGAACGACCCTCGGCACTCTGAGAGGAATCGATAGGTCCGATCGATTGTGGCCATCGTTCATGACGAGCTTGAAACGTTCTAACCTTTTCTAGCGTCGCATTCCGCACCTCGCACGAGTGGGCAGGATGTCTCCGTCGCTGCAAGATGTGATCCTGCCCGGTGCGGCGAGGAATGTCATTATGACGTCCACAAAGCTTGGCTACTACGACGACGATCATTATGGTGATGATGATGACTCCACTCATTATGGCGATGACTGACTGGTTGATCGAAAGGAGGCGCTTGATCTGAAAGAGCGGAAATCGAATTCCAGTCGACTACAATTGTTTGAAGTCTTGCCCACAGATATGCAGAGACAAACTGACTGGGCTGCTATGTATCTTCTGCAACAACAGGAGGCTTAAAACGGCTCATCTATGGCGTGTCTGTTCAAGTCGCGGCATTTCGCGTCGAGTCGTGTCCAATTACTACCTTGCCTACTCGAGTCCTCTACCTCCTACCTCCTATGGTTGTTCTTTGCCATGTCATCCTACTCCTGTAACTACTGGTAACGGTCAGTTCAATCGCTCGCCTCTGCCTCCTTCTACGAAAACTACTACAACTATCATCCTCCTCCGAATCAGCGCACCTCGCTGTGTCTGCCGCCTGGTCCATGGCATGTTTCCTGTCTGATTAGTATTGAGGCGACAACACGACCCATCTTCTTGCGCCGTCCATGAACACAAATCCAACTACTGTCTCTCTGCCCTCGCTACTTTTCTAACCCGACTACCACTACTACTACTACTTTCCCCCTCGTCTTTCTCTCGAGTTTCTTTGATCGATATCACGGAACTGTTTCCTTTTGAATCTGAATCACGTGCGAGCACAGCGGTCCTTGTGGATCGGTCAAAACGCCAGGTGATTCTACCTTGCCGCTCACTTCAGATTGAACGCGCACTCGGAAAATCACAGTCCTTTTGGCAACTCATAGGGGAGACGGAGAACGCTGTCTCCGAACGAGGGACGTCGACGTATTGTTTCCGGGGATATTCGGCGGATATTTTGGCGGGAGACTGCTTCTTGGGAGCTTAGCCTTTTTGCGATCATCTTTCCGGTAGGTCGTTGCCTGGCTCCAGAGCGTCTCGTCTCGAGACGAATTTAGGGCCGGTCAGCGAAGAGCAAAGAACGTCATCAGGTTTCCCTAATGCCCCGTCCATAGTCTAGTGCTGGCGTGGCGCTGGTAGTTTGTTCGTGTGGGAACGCATCGTACACTCGCTACGGCCACTTAGACGGTTGTAGGGATCGGCTCTTGCACTCGGATTGGCGATCGCTAGGAAGACACTAAGGCTACCATCTCTCTCAGGATTAGATAGAATGCAGAGACCTCTTTAGCTACTGTCTCTCGATAGGAATAAAGACTCGTGGGCCGCTGTTTTCAGAAGAATGAGGCCCAGAAAAATGCTTCGAAGTTCCTCGGTCGGCAAAGTAGACATTTAGACCTACGGCGTTTGTGCGGTCTGGAGTGGTGTGATGCCTTGTCCAAAGCCGAGCCTCTCGAGTACCAAATCTCCTCTAACGACGTTCCTCCTTCCCGTAGGTCGACATGAGTACCGTGGAGGTGCTACTATCGCATGATAATGCGGTCATCAACAAGGAGGACTTCGATGATGATAGGCCCGAAGGCTTCCTCAAGACGGGCAGCCGCTACGGCGGATTACCCCGGCCGCGTTCGGAATGCTGCTTCCCTCGGATGGAGATATTAGCTCCGTCTCCCGATCCCGGGAAACCGGGAATTTTGAGTCCATCGCAGACAATGACATCTCTCCACCGAGCATCCATAGTGTCGAGCATGGCACCCTTCAACTCGCCCTGTCCACCTGTGTCCCCGACAGGGCTTACCTTATCCGTAACGCCTGCCACTCCGGCTACGCAAACGGCTCCGTCGACAATCGGAGCAGCTTCAAGCAGTGTACATCCGAGGAGCAAAAGCCAAGGCTCGGCGGTTCCGGCAGCGCCGGGGTCTCATCTTGGGCCGATTCCGAGTCCCGAAAAGAAGCCAACGTCTACAGTCATTACGAAGGAGAAGAAAGATACTTCGAAATCGAGCAAGGCAGCCGAAAAAGCCACTCCTTGTACTCCCGCAGTGGTTGTCGTATCAGACCCGACGGCGACCAATGCTGCGAGAGACAACAAGAAAGAGCAGCCGAACTCAAGCAAAGCAACAATCAGAGGTGCCCAAGCTAAGGGTTCGACAGAAAGCAGTGATCCGAAGACGACTGCCGCCGTTTCGAAGTCTAAAGACGGATCCTCGGCTGGCGGTAGAAAAAAGTGAAGCGTTGAACTCAACTCAGAAACTCGAAAAGCTACAAACGAACAGAATCTTTGAAGAGAGACAACGCTTCGTTACGAAAACTCGGAACTCATTCGAACTGACCTAGAAGCACGATAGAAGAGTGTCGAGCTTCCAACAATTCTAGGGAACTCCTCCTAATAGGGCAGTCAGACTGGATAGACTAGCTGTTCCTGCGGTCCGATAATATTATTTTAGTAAATAGTCGGAAATCGCCGCATACTGTATCTGCTAGTCACGTCAGGCATGTTTGATCTACTAGATAAAGATTTAAGAACCAGAAATTCCACACGCAGAGGACTTGATTTGTCCAATATCACCTCTTTGTTACTAGGAATCTTCTAATGACATCAACACCAATAGGACATGGGATATATCTGATCCTACCCACAATGTGCATCGGTCATTCGCGTTCCGGAAGCTTTCCATCTTGTTCCTAAGGCGGAGACTGCGGACTGACGCAGTTCACGTGCAGCTGCTGTGGGCGTCGTTGTGTGACTACGCCCGCGGCGATACGTACGCGTCGATCGCGGGAGCGATACGAATCTATCAAGTAGAGCCTCTCAAGTTCCTAGTTATTGACACCAACCAATGACTTCTCATGTTCCGAACAAAATGCTCCGGATCTGATCATCAAACCCCTCGAATTGTGTCCCATGCGCGCCAGTGAGATCCCTAGGGATTCGTTTTACTGTTGATGGGCTATCGCCAACTAAGAGGTCAGGTAGAACTAATGAAACCTCTCGCGGTAATAATGATAATCGAATCAGACTTCTTCTGAATATTCCCCGAGGTTCAATTTCGAACCATCTATGAACTTTATGCATCTTCAGAGAAAACGGGGTTCCACTAGTTCGACCCAACCGGCTCCGGTTTTCACGAAAACTTACCTACAAAGAAGCGATGGGAGATTCCCATCGAATCCAGGGAGATGAGTGCAAATACCTCAATAGCGACGGCGACTTCTCGTCTGCGATGGAAGGCCGTTGGAATATATGCAAATTATGCAAGGGAACCATTCGTGGCGTCGGATCGTTCGAAAAAGAGTTGACATTCAAATGAGGTACAACGTCATCAATATCGTTGTTCTGGAAACCACACCGCTAGAACCGCGAGGAGAACTGTTTTTTCCTTCCAAGAGGCTCTTCGGAATATTCGGTTGTTAGTTGTTACTGAATCTTGTAGACTTTGATTTATACGTTTCTGAATCAGTCATTGTTGCGAAAGACGCTGTTACCTTCTCGCCATTGTTGTAGATAATGCTGTATAGAATCCGGAATGCAGAGGCAATGCAACGAAAAATGGGTATCAAACATTCTGAAGTGAATCCGCTGATTCATGTTGACAATACTCATAGGATTTCCGATCACAAAAGCGAAACCTCCGTTGCAAAGCGTTTGAGTGGACGCCTCGTCTCTCCGAAACAAGAGCTCCTCCTCAAGCGATTTTTTTCCACTCGGGGTTATTATGCCCTCCTCTTTTACCGCCCCATGAAAAGCAATATGAAGTGGTGAGACCTAAACATTTATAATCATTGACCCTGAAGTTGGACACGACGAAAGAATGAACAAGTAAATCACCGAAACAGACAGCGATCTCTGACAGAGAACAACAAGAATACAATATCTGACAACCTGATGCCTAGCCCTATCCCAACCTACGGAAGCCCACACTGCGAATACTTCGAACCGACCCACGTCCTGGCAAATTGAAAACTAGACGAGAACCGATTAGACTCTCTAACAGCGAGTTCGCTGCGTCATGCTTCTTCTTGAGTTTCTGTCCGATATCAATCTGGAATTGCGCGTCTTTGGCATTGCGCGATTGATGAGAAATTTGAGCAGGATTCCTCCGGTATATAATACAGCTTCAGGATCGAGGCCGTGATTGTTTCGAAGACCAGGAAGACTTCCAGCCTAATCTCTGATGTTCTAGTTCAGTGAGCTCCCTTCGCTTGTTGCCAGGATGTGGGTCTCAGAATACCCTGTCCCGAGTACGAGAAGAGAGGTTTGAATCTCGACTCACATTCAGACTTTCACAAACAAACTCGGTCTCTATGCGATCCACTGATGTCATTTGAACCCTTGTGAGTTTATTGTTACGACCTCCTACGACCTTGGCCTTGACCTCAAACTTGAACCTGATAACCAACCCACTGTTACCTGTGACAACTCGGCAAGCATCTTCACTTCGCGTAAGATCACACACGAACGAATCGTCTCCCCTTGATTTTGACCTGAATCAATCTTAAGATAGTCACGGTTGAACGTCGGAGGACTCCGTCATTCACGGAGGAAATCTGTTCAGAATTCTGATTTAAGTGAATTTAAGAGGTGCTCGGTCAGGAAGTGTCGAATCCCAACTCAACAATCATTTGTTGACAATGCTGGTGAAATGGGTACATACTCTTTAACTGGAGAAAGTAAGGAAGTGAGCCGCAGAGAGAGTTACTTTGTAGAACCACTTAATAGATCCGAGACCAAATGACCATTGCTGAAGACGGGAAGAGACGTTGACAACGTGGGAAACTATGATTATTGAAAGTGAACACAATATTGACGTAACTCTCCATGACTAAAATACCCCTCGTAGGTACTCTGCAATTCACCTTGACTTGATCGAGAGCGGAAGAACCCCAAAGCAGGTGGAGGTTATAACGTGAGTTATAACTACTACAACGAGAATCGTTAATAAAACTTGTTTCCCCTGATGAAAAAAATCCCGCATCTCAAGACTTAGGATACCGATTTGCGCAGTTCGGGCGTGTCGGCGATTTTTTCAGAATCTTCGATTTGAGACAAGTCATCCTCACAGAAGCAGAATCACAGTGAGCTCATATTCGATTTCGGCGCGGTCACCGTGCTTTCGTTCGGATGTGGGAGCGCCCTCAGATATTGTTCCAATCGAGTTTAGTATTAATATTCGATTTCTCGCCGATTATGGGGCAACGGCCGAACTGAGCAAGCGGATCAGGTTGCTAATGATGGAGAAGAAAGGTATGGAGGGAGAATCGCGGCGTTATCTATGACTGAGGCGAAGAATATTCTGGAGTAGAATAGAATAATCATTAAGAGTTTAATAAATACTTTCCAAAATCTCTGAGTGCTCTAAATCCGTGGAAGCAAAAGGGTCTAGCGAGTCTAGAGAGAGATCCTCCGAAGCCATTTCCGGGGGCGTCTGCGTCTTCTTGCCAGAAGAAGAGCGCTATCTCCTCGGCGGCAGACACTACAGTTGGGAACGGGACGGGAGCAGACTGGTCTGACGGGGATTTTGATATCCGGCTTGGTAATTAGATGGCCTCTCGGACCAGAAGTCCCGGCTCTTAGCCGAGTAGTCCAGTAGTCCGGACAAGCGGAGAAAACCTACGACATCATCTGGCCGAGCGGTATGTTGACTCACCGGAGGCTTTATGAATGAAGACCTCGCTCTTCCACAATTCGGTCGAGAGAAACAGCATTTCCTCATGCAGAACTGTGAGCAAATAATGTACAAGAGAAGCTCTATTGTATGTAGAATGGATCGTTCCGAACATTGTGATTAGGACGTACATACATATAACGTAATAAAAGGAGAACCTTGGACGGACTTATGATCGACAGCAACTTCAAAGGACGATACATGTCCATGGGACAGACAAGACTTTCTCAATCGGAGCTGTTCCGACTCCGGCTGTCTCTGTTATGGCGAAGGGGAGCAGAAGAATACGCAGCATTCCGATAAAGATTTAGGTACTTTCGAGGTGCATGCGCAGCGGCGGGGGCCACTGCCCCTCAGCATCGCGGAATCTTCGATCGTCTTGACCAGCTCGGCTCTTTAGCTCGCTTTCCTACTGGAGAACCGCCGACCACCTCCCCGCGATAGAAACATGCATGAAGTCGAAGGAGCGAAAACGAATTGAAATCCGTCTAAAGGTTCAGTCTACAAGTCGAGAGCCAGATCGCGTTGGAGAATATTCGGAAGGCGCACACATCATCGGGAACCTGACATCTCCTCTCTCTGTCTGTCGTCTTCCTCGATACCGCATTGTTCCATGGTATTTCTCCACAGAATCGCGGCCGTAGACTTCTTCAAGGGCCGTCTTGGGAAACGTACTTCGGCACAATCGGACCAGTATTTGCCTGGAAGAAGATTCGAGGTACATCATGGGGATCATGAGCGCAGATTCCTGTCCGAGTTAAGGACAGCGTCCTCCTATCGCCAAGCTCAAATCGTGATCAGAATTTGACGGGTCTGTAGTCCTATTGAGAAAACTCAGGTTTATGGTCGAAGACTTCTACTTACCGGATATTATCGATGCGTTTCTGGACAGAACGAGGTGAACAATGGTCTGAGCTCCTTCCTCCGGAGTCTGTGGGATAAGGAGCCATTGATGCAAAGCAATATTCGACACACGAAGCTTCTGAGTGTTTCTCAGGACGCGGGAGAATTTTTCATCGCTCACCCACCTTGGCATAAATGTTAGCCAGAAGTCTCAGCGAGAAGTGCGCGATGTTTCCGTATGAGTGCGAGAATATGTCAGTGAGAACGAATCCGGGATGGCAGCAGTTGACAGTGATACCTTGAAAAAATCCATTGTCATGAGCCTCATCTCCGGCTCGGAGTTTCGACTAGGTTTGTCGTGGAGTTTCCCATTCGAGAGACCGATAAGTCGCCAGTCGTGGAACTTTTATCACCCCAGAGGAAACAGCGATTATAGTTTCTGGGGATTTACCTGTTCCAGCTAAGCGTTGCGCCAGAGTTCGCGTCCAGTAATTCATTGCCAGCTTGGTGTCGCCGTAAACAAAACTCCCAAAACACATTATCCGTCTGGGACAAGTCTTGTTTTTCGCTAGGCGGACTTCGGAGCCCATCAAATGCTGAATTGAAGAAACATTCACGATGCGTCCCCCGTCTCGTTTGATAATCGCTGCGGAAATTCCTTTATTACGTAGTTATCCAGCCGTTTTCCACCCTTCTCCAGAAAAAACATCAACAGGACAGAGCAAGCAGAGACATGCCTTGATTATCCCGACTGGCTTTTAGCACCACATTTTAATTGGTGGCTTTGGCACTCATATGACAATCGCCTGAGAAAAAATACTCACGTAATAGGAGATGAGTCAGTAGAACGGGCGAGAGGTAATTTGTCTGGAAGGTGACTTCAAAGTTGTCCTCAGATTTTACAATTTCCTCCGGTACTGGGAAAGTTTAAAACAGAATTCCGAGATTAAAGTCCAGCCAGATGTTTGCGTAGGGGGCACCTGGCCGCGTTAGCTCTGGCAGCTTTTCTCCAAACATGCCCCCAGCATAAATTTCTCAGAAGTTTTTTTCCTCGACTGCGGCGCCAAATTTCTTATCAAATAGTGACAGACAAGACTCTAATTGGAACCAGACCGGGATACGGAGAGGAATCGCCGTTCACTGACGACGATGGACGTCTCACATCTCAACCTCGCACGGCGCAATCCGTCTCTATCATGGATCACGATGGACGCAGAGGAAAACAGCACTAGGGAATCGAGGCGGTATTTTTCGCACCGACAGCCGCCAGCGAGAAACATTCATTCTTCGAAGGACGCATTCGGCCAATAATAATCCGGGTCCAGATGAATCATAGACTCCTTGAGCATTCGCGAGGTGGGATATGGTTTAGCGAGAAGGGAGCATGAATTTGTAGGAATGGAGTCGGAATTCATCCGAAAGATGAATATTCAGCTGGGTATCTCTCTCCCATCCATAAGCACGAAAATATGTTTCTAATCTCAAATTTTCCCAGGCTTGCGGCCCCTGTCTTCGAGGAAGTGGTGGATAAATAATTCGCGGGTCTTCTGAGCGGAAACGCGTAATTTGAGAGAGTGGAATTTCGAGTACCCATCGAGGAGCCGATTCCTCGTACTTACCACCGAGGGCAGCGTTGTTGATCAGAACATCGATGGACGGGGAGATGCCGATAACTTCCTGAGCGAACTTCCTGACGCTTGCGAATGATTGTAGGTCAAGATGCAGAACCTGTATCTTACCTGTTGGGAGGAGTGGGGAATAATGTCCATCGCATCCTTAGTGCATCGCCACTCATCATATTCTGATCATGGCAAAGCCCGATGAGTGAGCGCAGGGGGCTTCGGTTCTTAGAAGAATAAAATCCTCGGAAAACCCGGAACATCTCACCTTTGAAACCTTTCTCAGCGCACTCAAGCTTCAGACTCTCAGCTTTGGCAGTATTCCGGCAGCCTATGATGAGGTTCGCGCCCCCTCGAACGAGCTCGGTCGAGACACACCGCCCGATACCTTAGCACACAGGATACGATGAATTCAGGGATTGAAGCTCAGAATCATGCCGACGCGATCGATGCATGATCCTCAGACAGAACCCTCCTATCGAGAGTAGGATGCACCGCAGCTGCTAATTACAGAGAGCGCCACTCACCTGCGTTCCCGCCAGTGATCACGACAGTCTTTCCCGAGACTCGGTCTCTAGGACAAACACATCGTCCGCAAGTGAGCCTAGCATACAGCCACAAAGATGCCAGCAGTACGAGCAGAACATAGATGATCCACATGGTAATGAAGGAATATATTGAATAAATAATGACACAACGAGCGGAAATGTCGACAGTAGCGCGGTCGTTTAGCCGTAATTCCCGTCGATGCGAGAAGGATTGCAGTAGGACTTAGGAATTGGCCAGAACACAGTATGCGAGGAATGGCTGTCACTGAGGCTTTTCGCGAGCTGAGCGAGACTGAGTCTTGATGTCAGTGTGAGCGCGAATCGTCTGTTGAACGGTGAGAGTCCATGCGCACGGGAATGCGCTGTATATCCGCGAAATTCTAAGAGGAGCTCATGTGACTCCGCCGAAGTGGCGAGAGCGACGGGGGAAGCCTTGGAAAGCCATCTTGCTCTTTTCTCAAGAGATTCATACGTATGCTTCGCCTCTGGATTAGACGACGGTGAACTCCGTTGACTTTCTAAGGGTCGAGGAGGAGAGGCGGCGAGGACCGAAAATTCGGTGTGATTCGCCTGATCCGGCTTACTCGTGTAGTCTGCGCATGTGGACTCGTAGTGGGTACTTCGATTGCCGAGCAGCCGGTTGTCCGATCGGCCTTGCGAATTATACAATTTTCAAGACTCCCGGAAGGGGGAAGATCAACGCAAGTGTCTAGCGCACGCGGGTTCATGTTTATGGGCGCTGAATAGGAAAAATCGCCGCAAGAGGGGATTTCCTCCATGTAAAGCGCGTTAACTCTCTCACTGATTTCGACTCTGAGACGAGGTACGAGGGAACGAATTACCGGAATCTCCGATCAAATCAAACGATAATTGATTCGCGTCTAAGCGCTCGAGGGAGATGAATTGGACGGCATCCTACATCCTTGTAGTCTTCCTCCCCCCCGTTTACAGATTCGCGTAGTTGCCTGAACAGACTACGAACTCATATTTCGGCCCGGAAACTTACCAGTCGAAGCCACCCATTAGGGTCCTTTGGAATCACCGTATAGGGGTTTCGCGTGCCCATTTCGCTCCTACGTGCATTCTACGTATGCATATCATCCATTTCATCATGAGTCATGAGCCATTCGCATTTCGCATTCCGTCTGCGATACGTCAGATGTTCGCATTTCTCGTAATTCTGTCTCCCAGGAGCGAACCTGCAGTCCGCTATGACCAGCTACCCTCGCTCGTAGGGAGTAGCGTGACCGCGGCCTAGCTCCTCCATGCAGCTCTGGAGACAGCTTGACGCGGAAATCTCATACCGGGAGTAACCTCTGAATCCGAGCTCAGTGTAAGCAGTTATTAGAACTCTTCGGATATTAGCTCAAGCGATACACTCGGGTCCGTGGGCTGGGTCCGATACCTCAGAAAATTGTCAAGTGACGCGCGACCGGATCCGAGGTCTGATTTGCAAAATAATTCGTGGCAGCGGCTCTGACAGAAGGGGACCGCAGAAACATCCGCTTACTATCGTATCCATCACTCCGCATTCAATCATCCCAGCTCGACTCTACCGAATGAGAAGACATGGCCTTCATCCGTTTGTAGTGGTGCCGTAACCGTGGGGCAGAAAGCCGCGACTCCAGAAAAACTCTCTCCCCCGCCTTGAACCCCGACAGGGCTTCGGCTCGCTTTCTTGGGCCACAAATGAGACGTTTGGATAGTGCGTGCGACAGAATCCATTTCGCTATGTGCTAATACCGGACGTCTCAGAAGTTCTCGGGAGGAAAATCCCCTGTGCGTTGCCTCTCTCCTGAGATTTTTGCATATCGCTTCTGATCGCCAATGAGGGAAACATCGAGGTGCTTTTCGCATGGTGCCAGTGAATCCCTGGTTGGGTTGGGTTGAGTTCAGTGAAGAGGAGCTCTGTAGCGAGAAGCGACGGAAAACTTGACTGAGGATTCCGTCTCGAGTGAGGCTCAGCTACTATGTTGGGATTGAGCATTCTGTACGTGCTTCTCTGGGGCAGTGTTGTGTACGGCATAGTTCTGAAAATTTACCTCGAGAAGAGCAGGGGCAAATTCACAGGAAAGGAGCGCCTCGATGGAAAAGTGGTGTTGATCACTGGAGCCACACAAGGTTAGTCGGTCGCCAAATTCCTCGAGTCGTTCAATCATCTCGAGCGGTCTTCACGAGAATATCGATAGAAGAAAACTGAGATAGGCGTCGAACTCCGACGAGCTCAATGTGCTCCCTGCCGAGCATAGAGCCGACAGTTCTTGTCCGTGGCGCCCAACTTTTGGGAGGAACGAAACATGGGAGCTCGGTTGTGTTCTGGGGATGTTCTGCGCCCGGGCTACGACTGCGGCAATAGATATCACGCATTTTCAAATTATCTCGGCGCTCTGTAAATTCAGGAATCGGAGTTGAAGTTGCTCGAGATCTCATCCGTCGGGGCTGTCGACTCTGGATAGCTTGCCGTGATCTCAAACGTGGCCAGGAAGTCGCGCAGGATCTAGGGGGAGACTGCAAACTCCTCCGGATGGACCTGTGCTCCCTGACTAGCGTCAGGAGAGCAGCTCGACATTTGATAGAAAAGGAGCCTCGCCTCGACATTCTCATCAACAACGCGGCCGTCATTCGTGAGTCAGCATGAACCTTATAAGAAATATGTACCCGGTGATTTCATGGCGGATTGGTCGAGCTTCACGGTATCGGTTTCCAAGGTCCTGCAACAAAAATTACGCGTCCCGCAAGAAAGCACTTCATACATTTAAGCTGTTCAGAAGTTTGCTGAAAATTTTGGCGGCTTTCAAGCTTCACCTCGAAGGAATCACGATTATTTGAAGTTACAAGATAGTCCGACAAGGTATCCAACCTTGCAGAACTATCCGAACTGCGGAGCCGCACCGAAGTCCCATTCGCGAAAAAACTTGGCCTTGGTGACCTTCGACTCATAAAGTGTGGGAATCATTGGAAGTTTGACGATCATTCCCTTTTCTGACCGATTGACCTAAATTGCAGCCGCACGCACAAATATATTTACCGAGGACGGCTTCGAAGCAACTTATCAAACAAATTATCTCAGCGTGGTTTATCTCACCTTACTTCTATTCGGTGAGTGATAAGGGGCAGTGGGGAGTTTACACGATATCATCGCCTATCCATAGGATAACATCCCGGGGATTTCGCTCACGAAGAACGAGGCAAATGGAGGGCCTCGTTCATGCTGTCTCGGAGCTTACGAGGAGCAAGACACGTTCCAAACAATGAGCTGTCCTGTAACTCCGGATTTCGCGAGAGCATGAGGAGCGCCTCCATGAATCGTCTCTCATCCGCTTGACGTCTGCGAATTCGGAAAGCGGATAATCTATGAACCGATCCCGGACTGCAGTCGGAAATCACTTGGAGACGATGAACAGTTCTAAGCCGATGCTTTCTTAGTTTCAAATTCTTATTTTCTCTGGAAACACTGAGCTGCTTGGCAGCGAGGTCTTCTATCATGAGAATCGGGCCTTTTGAGGAAGTCAATTCCTGAGGCCTATCGTCATTGCTCATTACTCTCATTACTGAAAGCTTGATCCAGAACGATATGCCTGATTCCGAGACCACAAGGGGGAAACACATCATCCTCGAATTTTTCGAGATAATCTGCCAAACGTTTATCCTGGCAGCTCTCTTCTTTATCAGCGAGGGCTTTCGACGCGCTCCATCAAGGGATGTAATTTTTATTCTAGAAATCCTCCGGAAGAGTCCCTCTGCACGAGTTGTAAATGTTTCCTCGAACTTACATCACGTCGGATTCTTGGGATGCATCTCGGAAGATGCAACCAGGGAACATTCGTGGTTTGAAAGCCCTCTACAGATGTATTCGAACTCCAAGTTCGCCCTCAACATGGTGACGAAAGAGCTCGCGAAACTCTTCCAGCGTAAGTGATCCGCTACCTATCTCAGAGAAGCTGCTCGTTTCGCAATGACAAAGCAGCTGATGATTGCTAATTCTTCCCTCATAGCTGAGAACATCCATGTTAATACCGTGCATCCCGGAGCGACGAAGACGAAAATCACTCTCCAAGGAACCACATCGATGGCCTTATTCTTTCATTTCGTATATCATCTTTTCGGGAAGGTGAGTCATCCAGAAGCCTTGGCAATCTCACACACCTTGGACGCAGGGTCCGCTTCCTCCATATTAACCAAGCAACAAGGGCAAATCGCTTTCGGGATCTAAGTCCGATCACCCCCATGTCAAGAAAACATTGGATTCTCGATAAGGAGGATTAACACCGAAAAATCATTTGAAAAAAATCTCAATGACGTCGCTCGAGGCGCTTCGTAGTTTCTGGTCTATGCGAAGGTGCGGAGCACTTTAACCTGAATCTCCCTCGCTGACTCTCCTCGCCCAGAGTCTCCCCGTACGACGTCTAGACCAAGATTCCGTCAGTACGATGCACCTCAGCCGAAGCCGCCTTTCTCGGAAGTGACTGCTCATTTTATTTTCAGAGTCCTGAGGAGGCAGCTCAAGCAATCACTTACGTGGCTGTAAGCAAAGACCTAGAGGGTGTGACAGGCAAATATTTTGTCGACTGTGGTGTAGGATGGGATAACTGGAGAGTCAATGACCCCGACAGACGAAGAAAGCTCTTCGAAGATACATGCCGCTTGCTTGATTTGCCCTCACCGTAGAGTTTTAGAATTCTTTGCCTTCGATGGCCCAGACGGTGCAGCTGCCGCGAGGGAAGGCTCTCTCACTCCGCAATCGCAGCCAAGTCTCATCCATGCGAGTGTTCCTTCGTACAATGAATCGACGAGGGATAGCGTGCTCAATTTGAAAGCTGTCGAATTTCAATGGCCTACTGTTGAAGACAGTAGACTGTTTTGAATTATGTATTCGGGATTCGCGTCTGACGGGGGCTAGACTTCCAGTTTATCTTGTTCGATCAGAGCATCCTTATCACTGAAATATTGAAGGAGAGACGAAGAAACGAGTCACCATAAGTCGTGGCCATTATAATAAATGAATAGACTCTGTTACGGTTTCTTGAATTGCGACTGCATGTAGTGATGATATCTACGCTCTTTATTCGTCATCTCATAACTGCAACCTTCCCCTTCTCGCATGTTCGTTCTCATACGACCTCAATACACTCCGTGAAGCAGTTCTTCACCTTGCTCGCCCACACTCCATTTCCTTTCTCTTGAATTATAATGCCGAGAGTTTCATCTCAGCTTCTGCAGCTATTATCGTAGATTTCTCTCAAGGAATATTCCTCTGACTTCTGCCTCGCCTCCGTCCGGCGATAGGAATCGGTAGAATCCGTCTCGTCATTATTATTGTTATCATTATCGTAATTATTATCATCATCGTAACTATTATCGACTCCATAATTGTCGAAGGCAGTCTTGGTTATGTTCGGCTGAGAGACTCGTCAAATATAATGTCGAATCTGCTAGATTCATGCTGGAATTCGCTCAACTATCCTCGATCCGATGTTCTTTCTCTGTTCCTAACATATCTCGTTTCGATGTTAATCCCTTTGAGGTCGAGCAGAACTTGTCTGCGAACCAAATAAAAATAGACGGTGATCGATGTCGGAATTTCGATCAGCGATCACACCTCGTCATGGCCATTCAGCTCCTCGGCTCGACACCGTGTCGCTGAGCATAAGTTATTCCACAGCCAGACCAATCAGGCTCAAGCGTGCGCGTGCCTGCCTCATCCCTCATCGTGCTTCACATCGCATCGGGAATGTTTCTTCTCCTCTGCATTCCCGAATACATAGCCTCCAATTCTTATCCGAAATGACTCTTCGTAGGAAGCGACTCATTCCCTGTGAGTTTTCCCCATCATCATCGTCTCAACTAGACAGAGCCAAGAGCTCGAAAGTTTCTTGACTAAATCGATCAGAAAAGATAACTTAGTCTACCCTGAAGGGAAGCAGGGGAGCCGCAAATCAATCAAGTCCTTGTTCAATCGTCTGGCAACTCGACAGTTTCAATAATGATGATGATGATGGTGGTAATAATGACAATAATAATGACGAAGCCACGAAGCCGTTCAACGGAAGACTCTGGAGCGCAAAAAATCCCCGAGGAGTGTGCTTCCAATGCGTTAGTGAAGTTTCCTCAAACAAAACTCTCACGAGTCGTCCTACTGACGGAAGCTTTTTGTCAGAGATATCATGCTTTTCATTGTCTTTCGACCCTAGCAGGTGTTCCTCAACGTCGTTTGAATATTCATCGCTAGTCGCCTTAAACAATCACAAGCGCAGGCTCGACCCCTGGTCCTAGACAGAGCACGAGAGGCGGTCGAACTAGAATCAGAAAACTCATTGCAGAAAACCTGCCGTCACTATGGCAACCAGAACAACACCTAAAAATATAATACAATTTTATGTACATAACTTCCATTGATATAATAATCACCATCGTCACCCTACCTCATATCAAGCCACCGTTCCCAGTTGGTTACAAGGAATGAGAGTGCAATCGATAATTCAACCAACCGATCATGCAGTCAGTCAGTCAATCGAGCAATCGATTAGTCTACCAACGGACGAATCAATCAACCGATCAATCAATCGACAAAAATAACTCGCATCCTACCTCCCTCAGAGCGCTATCGTAAACTTTCCGAAAAGATACATAGCGTTTTCCGGCCCTAGGACCAGCCATTCTGATGAATATGTATACGTGAGATGAAGGTAGCTCTCATACACGATCTCTCCCTCACTCATCTGACGCACTCCGCTTATGTGTCGTTCAGGCGCGAACTTTCCTTGCGAGGGGTCCATGGAGATTCGCAAATCAAGATTAAGGTTCCACCTCTCAGGAGGCTATGGATGAAGGCTTATCCGACGCATCGAGGGGCTCAAGAGCCCTCCACAAGACGCGACGAAGAGGAAGGTTCGCTCAGTGATCGCGATGTCGTGAAGTCGTGAACCCCGCGACAAAATCTCTGGGGAGGATTCCTCAACGAAAGTTCTTTAGTCTGTTGAGGATCCCTTGATGTATGGATAAGTATTTGGCTCCCAATCTTAGTCAGTCAATCGGTCCCACATATAACTATCTGAGACGGCAGGTCAGTCAGACATTCCTTTAACCCCATTTCTGATCAAGCCTTCCGTTAATTGGCTCCGGTCCCTGCCGCCCTCATGATTTGCGTTTCTCTCGATTTGCGGCATGATTCTATGCTCCTCGAATAGGAGCTACCGATATAATCATCAATCAAGTCTCAGGCGAGTTAATATCGGTGAGTGCTTCATCAGCAGAGTGAGGTGGTGATGATGATAACGATATCCGTCATCGCGAAAGCGCCGATAATTGTGAAAGAGAGGAATGAATGAGGATGAAAATTCGTTACGTTGTCGTTGTTGTTTCGTTAACGTGAAATCTTGATATTTACAAAATTCAATGTTCACAGCCTTACCGCATGACGCATAGAAAACTCAGACAGACTACTCTTCCATTTTCTCCGAACAGAATTATAGATCCTCGACCTCCTCATATGATTGTAATAATTGTCGCTGGTTTCTACCATATTGTTATCCTCGATATCAAACTAACTAAGACTTACAGTAAGTGAGCTCAGGGCTGAGTGGGAAGACCTCGTCAGAGGAAACTAAGAAATACTTGTCGCCGCTATATCCCTCCGTTTCTCTATCTCATTCTCTCTCTCACTACATTTCATTCTCAAGCTTTGTCGCCGATCCTCATCGCTCGCGATGCTGGCAAGTACAAAGTTAAGGTACTCCTCTCCTCAGACAGTGATCTACGTGCACAATTAAGTATTTGAAAATTCCTTCGAGACTCTAAAACCGGCGTCGACGCATCCAAGACGTCGACATCGTCCTGACGGTTGGTATTTGTAGGCCCCAGCAGCTAATTACTCTCCCTCATTCGGGAGCTACTGGAGGCGAGGAGCGTAGGAAACAGCGTTTTAAAAAGCTATCGAACAGCAACCGATCCCAGAACGTAATCCCGTCTCCTCTCGTTTGAACATTTCGTTGCGGAGTCGGGGGAAACTTTCTGCTTAGCGTCGTGCCTCTCGCGAAGCCTTATTATTGAGGATATGATCGATTATATTCTCTCTAAGCCCAACATCCGGGGAATCGAATCGAGGATGCGGGGCAAGGGGTTCAGGTCTCAGGTTACAAGGCAAGGAAGGGATTTCATGCACCTCGCTGATGCGTTGGCGGTAGCGAACATGGGTGAAAGAGGCATAGGCGGTGCGGCAATTTTCGTGTTGGATCACAGAGACTGGTCCTCAACTTCTACAGGTCATCATGGATTATTTTTTGGTGGCTCAACTATCCTTGAGAAGTTGATGCATCGTATCGATCGGAAGCCCGAATACGGACATAACTTTTTGCAAATACGAAATACGGAGTTCAATCGACGGTTTGATCGTCCTAAATTCAGTATTCCCCGTGCATGGAGCGACGAGAAGCTCGTGGATCCAAGGAATGGTTCCTCTAAAGGAAGGCTGGTCCTAGTTCGAAATCAAGCAATTGGCATGTGAGAATCTCAGCCATCTTGGGCCGCGAGCAGACGTTTCTGCATCAGCGATCTCATAAAACTCGATCATCGCGTATTTTTCTCTGATGTTCAGCCTCATGACTTATATTCCGAAAAAGAGACCGATAAATCATGCCGACCAACGATCCTCGGAAGACTGGAGCAGGGGTTGGGGATGACCGGGGGTTGGGGCGAGACTGGGGTCGGAGGACGAAGATTTTTGAACAACGACATTTTCACTCAAGGACCCTAGGAGAAGGGGCTGTGACACCGGAGAGTGGGAGGAGGAGAGATAATCATGAGGATGCGACAACCGAGAGAATCAAAAACGCTCTTATGAATGAACTCGAGTGTACAAAATATTGCAAAACCCCTAATCTCAGAGTAGTGGACTTCGAAGCTTCTCCTACAGACCGTATACGCATGTCGTCCATCTGGAGATTGAAATCTCTGCTGCTTCACGCTGAGAGGTGGCTGCGTGAGGTTTCCCACACGGAGCTCTCGCTGTTTCTGATGTTGTTGTTCTTGTTGCTGTGTCATTCTTGTTGTTATTCTCCTGGTTTCGATGCTTCCAATCGCTCACATCTTCGTCATTTCTTTAGACGTCGCAGACACCGTCGTGTTCGAAACGATGACCCTGCTTGAGGAGACGGAAGTGTGCGTACCGCCATTCGTATTCTCCGAGCTCTCGGAACTCACATTCTGCAATCTTATCCTGTCCAGAGCGTCTTCGACCGTCGACGCGTCTTGCAAGTCTTCGGCGGCGGTTGTGCGACCGGTTGCCGTTGGTATCGTTTCCGCGGTCGACGCCGTACTTGTCGCAGCGTCGTATTCTGCGTTCGCACGGTCGGTGTCAGCGAGATCTTCGACGCCCCGATCATCGTCATCGTCGTTGTTCGACGAAGCGTTCTCGTAGCCGCTCGAAGATGCTGGAGGCACTGGTGTCGATGGCGGCGCCATCATACCCTTCTGTTGCTGTGTCAGCAGATTTCCGTCCGCAGATGTCGGGTGGACATCGTGCTTTTCCTGCATCACCCTGCGAACCACAGTAACGAGCTTGGGGTTTTTCTTCGACGGCGTGTGTTTGAGTGGCGACGCCATTCGCTTGAACACTTTCTGACTCATGAAGTCCTGGAAACGCTTAGCGTAGAATCCTGGCCTGTGTACCGACACGGTGTCCCCGTCGTGCAGAAGGGCTTTCCACGAATGCTCGAGTCTCTTTCGCAAACGATACGATTGCAATATGTCTATGATGCCTATGAACAGCAGAAGCCGCTCGCCCTTCGAGTTTACGGCGGGGATCCCGCCAGGCGGAGAATTTTCGTCGTGATCAATCGATTCGATGGCGGTTGAAAACGCTGCCAACCGACCCCGGTTCATCGATTTCGATCGGGGAATGTTGGCACCTCCTGTAGACGCACCAAGCGTAGCTGCGTCAACCGCCGTGTCCGCAGCTTCGGCTTCTCGTGCCGCTTGATCGATGTTGTGGATTCCCAGCAAGAGAGAGTAGTCCATGATCTTGAAGCTTTCCAGTACGCGACAATCTCTCTGGATGGTGTTGATGAGTGCGTCGTAGGTTTGCGCGTCGAGAAGAATCCCTTCGGGATGATGCTCCATGAAATCGAGGTCCTTGAAGGTCGGGGACTTCTTCTGGCGTTCGGCCTTGTTGGCCTTGCGCTTATACGTGGAACCTTTCAGATCGTATTTGAGATGCATTCTCACGCTCGACGGCAACAGGTTGTTCATCACAATCACACGGACGTTTTTGTTGCCGGCGATATAGCAGAAAAGACCGAAGAACTTCGGCAGTAACGTCCGTGGGTTCTGGTGGAGGTTCATATAGTAGCCCGGCAGCAGGCTCTGCAGGAAGTCAGCCTCGACGTGCGCAACAGTCTTTATGATGAATTCGTCGTCGGCCGTCACATAGAACAGTGAACCAGACGCACCTGGATTGCTGAGTTCACGCATTGCTTCGTTGCATAACGAGAGCAGAAAATCGCCAGGTTGGATCTGGAAGAGATCTCGGAAATAACGGAACGCTACGGGTGAGTAAGCCTTGAACTTGAATGAATCGTGATGATGCGCCGGACTCGCCGTCCCCCCTTCTCTGGGGAAGTCGAGGTTGTCCACCATCGCAAAATCCTGCATGAGTAAATCCCGCTCTGGCTTCGAAGCGAGACTTCCCACGGCGTAACCGATGCCGAGCTGAATGGATTCGATGATAGTGGACGAGTGGATTTTCTTGAAGGTGACCTTGCCTTCGTCGTCGATTCGCCGATGTCCGAGTTTCTCCTTCTCGCCGGGCCGGCTACCCGCTGCACCGGCAGCTGTCCCGCTCTTATCGGCACCATCTCTACCGCCTTTGTCGACAGGTGTCAAGGGCGCCGTCGTCGAGGTCGTGGGCGTCTTGGCTTCGGACTGGCTCATGTGCGATGGTGTCGACGTGCCGATTGTAGACGTGTCGAGAGGCCCTGGCCGTCTTGCTCTGAACGGCGTGCCAATACTACTGCTCACTTCCGAATCCATGTCGCGCGACGAGCCCACGACCGGCCCTTCGACCCCAGTTCCGGCGACGCCGTCGTTACTGAAAAGCGAAGAACGGATTAGTACTCGAGAAGATTCCGACTCGTGGTAGGAGCGCCACGCCATCCAAATCACGGGAGTTGACTTTTTTTTTCATCAAATACAATATGATAGATCGAACGCGAGGATCTTTCTCCGGAGAAACCCTCGCGTGGCTCGGAGCAAATTCGGTTCGTCTCGCCCCCCTTAGACGGAAAACCCCGATGAAGAGTTTCCAAAGCCCCAGGATCGATGCTGAGTATTGAAGCGATTGGGTCCGCGCAAAATGAGCAAGAGCCTACCGAGAGACGCCGTTGTCGGATGAATTGGAATCCTGTCGAGTTGAAGGTTCGTCTCCGGCTTGTGATGCTTCTTCACCCTTCTGTTGTACACCGTTGCCGCCGCCGACGACGATACTGTCCTGATAGTTTTCTCCCGATTTATTCTGTTCCCTCCTGAGGATCCATCCGATTCTGCGTAGGAACGCAGAGGAGAATCTGAATGAAGAGCGGCGTCGTCTTTCTGAGAAGCCAACTGAGGATGACATGAAAGAAAAATGAACTTTAGAGGAAATCTCGGACTACGGGTGAATTCTCCCTCTATTGGATCCTGCGAAGATTTCCACGTGCGTGAGGGAGGGCTCCATCGCTGTGCGTCCCGGGGGATCGCGACTATGGGCACACTACTCGAGAGTCGTTCCCTTACTCCTTCTGAGCTGCCTAATTATATCTAGTACGTGCTGTCGATCAGGTCCAGCAGCCCTGAGCAAAGCTACACGAAGACCACAGAATCCCAGACTCCTTAGCAGCTGCTAAGAATCTGGCTCCATTCAAGCCATGGATATGAGTGATTCCGACGCGCGGGCGATCGTCTCGCGCAGTATCACGTAAGGCAAGCATTCTAGCGTGGCACGCTCTCACGTCGGAGCCGATGCAGCTTACAAATAAATATTTTGATGCAGACCTGTTGACAGTATGACCGAGCGAGACGTCACCCCGTCTGACGCGACTGCTCACCCGCAGCAAGTCCCGACGATGCAACCCAAGGTACGATGGATGGATGGATCCATTCGACTGAATGGATCCAGCGGAGCGATCTCCTGATGTGGTATACCCACACCAGGTAGGGTTCCGTTGCTCAAGAATGCTGCAATATCATATTCCGTTCCTCAACTCGCAGCACGGAGTGATTCTCCATCGGTCCGCGATGTTTTGTGGGCAGCTAATCACCACCAACAACCCCGGTGGACGAGGGTCCTCCCCTCTTCGAGAGGATACTTTCGCCTGGATCGGGTTTTTCCTGAACTCGGGTCTGGTTCCAGAATGGGCCATCAAGTAGCAAAAAGAATCCCATGTTTTCTCCGACTTCGGGAGCCGCAGACCCAGACCTAAGCGATCGACCCGTCGGCTAGACTCCCATCCCTCCACCGTTCGGAACCGATCAACCCCGCAAGTATTTGTTAAGAAACGCGTTCCTTCGCGGGTCGTGACTCAAAAGCGGAATGTCCCAGGCTCCGATTCACAATAACTCTGTCTTCCGGAGAGGGTGATAATTCCCTTGATCTTGCTTCCAGATCTCACCGAGCCCCAGACCGAAACCGTCGGTCGCTGATGGGGACAGAGTGACAGCGAATTGTTCGGAGAAGCAGTTAGGAACTCGATATCAAAACTTCCTGACTACCTCTGGGAGAGAATCGAAGTTCGGCTTGCTCCGCAGCTCCGATCTGGACTCCGATTCTCTTCAAGATCGGACACAATCGCTACCCAGTCTTCGTGAGACAATCCGTGTCCTGATCGGAAAGGAGTATTGTCCAACGGAGTTCATGCTTGCAGGTTTTGTGAAGAAAACAGAGCCCGAGTCCCACATCGATTGCATCAGCTCGATTGTTTCGAAGAGGTCACGTCATGAGGGCCCTGTCGCGCATACCCGAACTGCAGAGTGGGGAATTCCATAACCGATTCCGTGATCATCTTGAGCTTCCAGACTTCTACCTCTGATGGCTCAGTGCCCTCCGGCTCCCGCTAAACACCGAAATTATACGATGTCCCGAAAAGTCCCTCGATGCCTAGACGTGTCTTATGTGCGAATCCGGTGAGCTCCCGGATTCTGAAGCGCGCCGCTTCAGCCGCATGAGTGTCTCTCGGATCCTCGGATGGGTCGCATCTACCCGCGACGGAACTTGATTTGCGCTCGCGCGCTCCCCACGACAGGAGACGCCTCCGTTTCCCATAGCTCCGCAACTGCATATCAACCGGACCGACTCGATCCCGGTTCCGGTACGGCCGGCGGCTCTAGTTAATTAATTATTATCCAGCTCTCAGTCGTTGACCTTAGTATGTTAAATTTCGCAATGCGACGACAAGAAATTCAAATATTCGCTACGGTTCCCCGGCGGGACCAGGTTGTGGATGCACTAGTCGGTACTGCGGACTCGGCTCCTGAGATCTCCAAATCATACGCTTTACAGCAGCGCACACGATTCCGGAATGTGAGAAGGACGAAGGACTCCGTGCATCGAAGCGATCATCATGCCCCGGGCGAAGGAGTTTCCAGGAGATTCCAAGTCAGAATCAGGCGCCACCGCAAGAGAATTCAAATCCCAAGAAATCGTATCCGCCATCGACCGAAGCACAAGGAATCATGGGACCGTCGCTCTACCATTCTACTGGCTTGACAAGGAAACTCGAGAAAGATCGAGTTCCTCCTGGAAGTCATTCCAAGACTGACCGACGAGGGCGAAGCCTCCGAGCACAGAACGAGCGGCCAGTCTTGATTTGTCCTTCTCAACATCAGAGCAATTAATATATTTCACGGCCTGATGGGATGGATCATTTTCTGGAAAGATTCCTGTCGACCTCACAACATAGGAATGCTGTGGTCAAGCGGTTTCACCTTTTTTATCGAGAGGCCTCCCATCCTCGTGGGCTTCCATTTGCCGGAGCGTCGAAAAAGCTCTGTCACTGGAACGTCCCTCACTTCATCGGCCGAAAGCAACGTCTCAACACACGAGCTTCAATTCCAGCTGTCGGTACCGCGCTTGCCTCACAGCCGACATTTCTCGAATGCCTTCTTTGCTCAGCCGTTCTAGCTGAACGAAGGCTGATGCTGGCAGCTAGATTTCCACCGAGTCAGTCCGTGCGGAGGCTAGACAGTCCGGCGGCAAAACAGCCGAGAGTTCTGCTGAATTCCGCATCCAGAAAGGGAGTCTGGATAACCTGAACTAGCGGCAGACGGAAGCATACATTCGTCGACTGCATCGGCGGCTACACAATCTGGAAGCATGACGTGTTGCGCGCGAAGCCCTCCGCGTTTCGAATCGGTCGAATCGGGAGTAGGAACGACGACCTTTCGGCAAGACTCACGTGAGTCGGTTCCATGGTTGTAAAGCCCAGGCTACGTTTTAGTGTGCCTTGAAAGTTGGGCGAAAACACCGCTCCATGGAGCCGAGCGAGCGTCCGTCGGCGGCTCCGTGGGCCCCGACGTCGAGCTCTTTGGACCATTAATCGTGAGGGCTCATCAGTGGAGATTCTGTGAGACCTCGCACCGATGGCAAACAGTGACAGAGTGTGGATGGAGCTAGAATTGCCAGTCAGGAGGTGAGGATTTTCCAAAAGCAACCTTTAAATTCAATGAGAATGTCCCGAGTGAAACACTCACTTCCATCTCGGTTCGCACTCCGGGAGCGACCTTAGGCCTGAAGAAACCGAACAACAGGAGCCAGACTCGGTTTCCGTGACTCGGGGACATTAGCCGAGATCCACCTAATCGGAGCGACACGGACCTGCGGTGAGGCACCGAAGATGAACTTCACATACTGGGGATTCTCAATGCCTCCAACGGGTTTAATCAGTCCGATCACGAGCGTAAAAGGTACGAGGACGTCGATACAGGCGGGTTCCCGGGATTCCCGCCGCCGAGCCAGACCGAGCTCGTGGTCACCCCTCTTGACCTGCTCATGACAGAATCGGGGATCGGATCGCTCCGCCTGCCGAGCACCTTCCCGGCTGCAGGGAGGAATTCCCACACACTGGCACGATTACCACCTCCTCCCTCATAAAGCCGGTTTCTCTGATCGTCTCATGAGATTCATCTTTCACAGACAAAGATTCTAAATCATGGTGATTCTACCTGTGCATCGTTCCACTCATGGAACTCAAAGGCTCGTCAGCCAATACTACTTTTGCTGAATGAGCGAGAGGTACGTTCAATCCTCCTTCGATCAATTATATCATTAGAACATGAAAATTCACGGAGATCCCCGTCTGGGAGAGGCGGAGAGCCACATCTGAGATGCTCTGTACGGACGTCAGACCGCAACTGGATTTAAAAACTTGCGCAACGATGCCTTGATCCACACAGAAGTCGAGTATCGTCGAACTAAAGCTTGCGCAGAGAGGTTTGAGTCCGAGACTCTCCTTCAAACAGACTCTCCGGCGTTTCGCGATGATTCGCGGGTCATGAGATTCATTGTCACGAATGAGAACTGGAACTATTATATCACCACGATAATTTCAAAGTCGGTCATTATCTTCTGATCTGGCCGAGAGCAGCAATTGAGGGAGCGTTCAGAGTAATCTCTAGCAGACCGAATACAGGGAATCCCTCATCGATTCTTCTACAGTAAAGGTCCACTAGGAAATTTCTCGCGAACCCCACAGGGAACACTGTTGACGAAGGTTCGAGGCTGATGCTCCGGGGCTGTGATCCTGAGATAGATTGACCGTCTCGAATCAGGCGGAGTGTTCGAAGGAGGTTTCAAGCCGCGATCGTGAGCTAACGGCGAGGGGGGGGGGGCTCTGCTGAGGAGCGAAACCCAGGGCTCAGGGAGAGACACAGCGAAGCTTGTCATTCGCCCCGGAAATTCATGGGCACCCTCCAACAATGCGCCATAGTTGCCCCTAAACCGATAGGAGTTCCTCAGTCGTCCAGTGGTCATCTAGCATGACAACGAACTCGGCAGAATCACGCATTCCTTTTTGTGCGGAATCCTTGTTGGTCTGAGACGTGGATTTCGAATCCCGGCACCAGGGACGTTCACCGACGTCTCAAAGCTCCAACTTCCGATTCGCCATCTAGGAAGGGGGGCCGGAGGACTCTACAAGCCCCCGACAGTCTTGACTTCTCCTCATGCAGTAGCTAGAATTACCTGTTTCTTATCAGAGTGGGTGTCGTCGAGAGTCACACACCCTCCCGCCAGAAGAACACGCCTCTCATACAACCCCGCCCTTCTCACTTCGACTCGTCTTCAGAACGATTGACGCTCCGAGTCTATTCACCGAACGAAACGACTTCTACTTGTCCACAGGTTCGCGGAGGACACTCACATTGAGCTCAAATGTCATTCCGAAGGGAGTTCACACTTCCCCACACTGCTTCTCACACACATAGACATATTTGTTGTGTTCGGTGGCGGTTCGATGACGCGGGTGGATGGCGCTCAAATTCAAAAATGACCACACGTGTTCTACGAGAGCCCGTCCCGCCGCGCTCTCGACTCGTTCGGAAATCAGTTGTGAGAAAGTGAGTTCAAACTCTGTCACGATTCAAAATGCAGTATTCTCGACGACTCGAATCCTTCTCGATCCTCGCTCGCTGAAAGAGTGTATCCTCTCTCTCTCGCGGCTCTGATAGATCGGCGGAGCACTGACCCTCGCACTCCCCTATAAGGATGTGCATGTTGCGATTGATCCCCCACCAGATTTGATATCACGCGCAAGGGGGCAACCCCTCCGAGAGCTCGCCACCGTGCCTCCAGCTGGTCGTTGTTGGGCGGCTCATGCTTCCGGATCCCGCTTGGTGATAATCAGGCGTAGTTTCGAGAGCTCCTTCACGCTCCCCGAGACTCACGCGGAGCGTCTCGACCCAGTGATGAAATTATTTCAATTTGTGTGGGCAGCATTCGGGAACCTTCTCGGGCTCATCAACGGCACTCGATGCTCGCTCTACAATTAGCTGAGATTCTGACTCATTCGCTCACCTCCTCCCCCCCCCCCGAAATTCTTCTATGATTGTTACGTTGGAGCTTCGCGCCAGGGGATCTCCGAGCTGTCTCTAGGGGATGGAGCAATGCATCGATCGGACAACTGTGGACAGCGACCGAATGATGCTCGTCAGACCTAAAATAAATTCTTGCTTGACAGGAACATCCGGAATGCGTCTTTTCGCCAAGCTCTTGGCGGCGTCTTCACCCTCGAAAAGAGTAGTTACATTATTGACGGAGGCCCAACGCGCAGAGCTTCTAGATCCATTGCTCGTCCGCGGCTGGGAGTTACTTGAGGATAGAGACGCGATGCGGAAGGCGCTAACATTGAAGGATTTCAACGAAGCTTTCGGACTGATGACGAGGATCGCGCTGCACGCCGAGAAAATTAATCACCATCCAGAATGGCAGAACGTTTACAATCGCCTCACGATAACCCTCACAACCCACGACGTGAAGGGTCTCTCTACTAAAGACATTCGGATGGCGAAGTTCATCGAAGATATACTTGACAAATCCTGATAGACCTGTATTGCCGAGGGTCTGTGAGCTAGAGCTAGGTGATGCCAGCGGAGTGATTGTTATGATATGTTTCTGCTCTGCCCCATTGTTCTCCGGACTTGATTCGACGGGTTCATAGGATGGGTGTGAAACTGGAATCTGAGACAGTCTCAGCAGCAATAGAGCTTGCTGGCAGGTTTAGGAGCGGGATGAATAGGTCGATGCTTCATCTCACTCCTCAATCATTTCGATTTGTGGCTCCGCATTACCTTTCGCGATGTGAATGAATACTCTGGAATCAAATGTCAGCAGCATTGTTCTTCAAACCCGCTGCTCCAGCCAGAATGGATCGAGGACATCGAATCGCTCTTTTAAGCGCCGCGGACGAGACGGGGAGAGTATACTGTGACCCTCTGACGTGGATCAGATATCAGACGATATCGATCTTCGTCTTTTTTTGTCAGGTCCGTCACGTCTGATCGCCTCCGAGGCTGGCCGATACGAGATCCATGTAGTTCGAACTCCTTCAATCTTCCAAAGCACGACGGACGTCACGTACAAACCTCTCCGTGAACTATGAACTATAGAAAAATAAACTCCATGGCGGTGATCGCGGTCCTGTACCCGATCCTCCTCACCGGACACATCGATTTTATCACACATCTGTTCGATAAACCATTGTACTCGGAAGCAAAGACTATCGGGGACATCCAAAACAATATTTATTCAAGCTATCGAATTTCTCTCCTTTTCAATTTTCACTATCGAGTTTCTCTTCTCATGTTTCGCTCGAGTCTCTGCAACCGTTTCACATAATTGAGCACTTTCGTCTCGAGTTTCTTTGCGGCGCGACTCCGTGCGAAATTCCCGCGGGGTATCCTCGTGGCGATTTTCAAAATAGCATAAAAGTAAGCCGCCATAGAAATGAAGATGAGGAAAATCATGACGGACTTGAGGAAGAAGAACCGGCGGTGTATTCGGAAGCAATGCCCCCGGAAATCACAGGTTCCTTCTCCATCAGCACACTCGAAACCTGGAATCCAAATGCAGTTCGACTTGGGGGATGAGAGGGGTGCTTGAATGCAACAGAGAACGCAGATTAGCGAAGCGGGGTTCGTGCTCACCTGGAGCGAGGAAACGGTCACAGGTCTCTCCGGAATGAAGTTTGCATAAGAGTTCACACTTATTCGTGCCAGGTGACAGACAAAATGTCTTGCAGAGCTCATCAGCGCGCGCCAGCCATGGAACGCAGCTGGTGAGATTGTAATAGTCGCAGAGACTACCTTTGCACGTACCTAGTAATTATACGAAACGCTCAGATCCCCCTGTGAGGAAAGCTTTGGAATGCGAATGGAGATCGAGTCTGGCGTGGGCTTGCGGACGTATCGCGAATAACTCGGCACCGGTCGAGAATCGAGGGATGGATGGAGTCAAACAGACCATTTAAGCAAGTTGCATCGTCTCGGCAGCGAATCCGATTCGGCTTCGGGAGCGGTGGTGGGCACTGAGCGGAGTCGCCCGTGCAATGGGAAGATTCCCTACACGGCGATTCCGCTTCACAAAGGGTTCCTTGAGCGCGGAACCGACAGGACGTTCCATCGCAACAAGGCCCATTCGATACGCTGCACTGCGTCGCTGGAGTCCTCTCCCTGTGAGAGATCGATGACAGGATTATCAGCCGACCACTGGATGTATCGTCACTCTTAGCTAGAGTCGATGTTCGAGCTGAGTGGTGGAATTCTTCGTGTGTTCCCGGTGCGATCGAGCCGGATATACAGAATCACCTACTTGTACGTGCAGGGTTTCATAGGTGAATTCCACGCCGAGGTGATCGCAGGGTTGCAGCATCGGTCCTCGGCACACTGTTCTTCTGAGAAGCCGCAATCGCATTCCTCTCCAGTTTCGACGATGCCATTGCCACAGACGAAGGCTCCGAAGGAATCGAAACACGTTCTGTGAGAACCCGATTCGAAGATGCTCCTAGAAATTTCCGGCATCGGCATCGATATGTGTGCTGGAGGTGCTGTATGTTTCCACGCATGGATTTTTCCTCCCCCGCAGAGTGATTTCGGCATTCTAGGGACAATTCAAAGTCGGAGCGAAAAAGCTCTCACTCTAAGGTCTGTTCCATTTGCCGGATAGAGCATTTGCTGAAAGATCGCTGATGAACGTGAAACTGATCCCTGGATTTGTAGAACATGATGTTGTTCTCGGGGTCGACTTCCCAAACAGGACAGCTTGTTTTTCCGAAAATAACTTCGGCCAGTCCTGGAATGACAACTCTGCGGTCTACTAGGGCAAGTGCTATCTCACAGAATGAGAGTTCTGGCAATCGATTTTCACGAGGATTTCTCAATGGAGCGAAATATTTCACTACCGTCGTGTTCCGCTCCGAGAACGTGCCCGAGCTCATGGATGAAAGTCAGTTCGTGCACGAAAGCCGCATCTTTGAGCTTCGCAACGTTCACGGCCATCGCCATACCGTGGAGAGCTCTGCCCCCCGGCCCGGCTCTGTGCGCGTTACAAACTGAGCCGACGTTGCCGAACCCGAGGAACTCTCTTCTGCGTCCCGGCTGGACAGCAGTGATGTGGACCAGGAAGCAAAAATGGTCACTGATATCAACGTGGTTCCTCCGGACGAACTCGTCGACGCCTAATTGGGAACATTTTAGAACGGTCACAGATATGGGAAGCAGGGAATCGAGTCCCTTAGTCGAACAATGGAGTAACTTGCCGTGGTCGTTCTTACCCATCTCTCGAACTGGTTTTCGCCGTAGGTAGCGTGAGTAGAATCTCATATGCTTCAAGTAGGTTGATTCTGATCTGCTGAAGACCGAGTTCGCCACTTGGAATAAATTCTTCACCATTTCCGATATGACTATGGGTATCGTCTCGTTCGGGTGACCCGCATCTAGAAGTTGTTGCACTAACGCAACGTCATACTGAACGTAAGCTCCGCAGAAGTAGTTGCGGTCTATCACGAAGGTTCTCTCCCGGAGCTCGATCTCTGGAAGGAGGACCGAAAGAGACGCTCGCTTATCGAATATTCTGCCCCATCTCCTATCTCATCGCGGATCGACGTCAATCATTGTTGAATGGTCCAACTAAATTCTCCGAAAGTTTTCATGGGGTTGCTCTCGGTCGGCGAATCACCGTTCCACCGAACTGTTGCATTTACGTTGTTGTTTCGTCGCTGAAAGTGAAACCTGTATTGCCGTTGCTGGGAACAGATGGAATAGGGGGACAGGTGAATCTCTAGATGATCAAGCGGTGTACGACGCAATGGACCGTCCTCATAGGGGAAAACCCTGCTGCGTCAGGAACTCTACGGATGAGGAGCGATGGAAGAAAGAATAAACCGGGGGACGGATGATCACAAGGCAAACGGGGTGGATATAACGGAGAGGGAGAACTGAGCCGATTTGGATCCGACGAGCATGACGGGTATGGGGACGATTTCGATAGGGTTGCTCGAGATGGATTCCGAATCTGATTCCAGGAGCTTACCAGGATCAAACCCGTCTGCGGTTTCGATTGGGAAGCTGTCATCCGAGAAGACGTCCGAAGCGTGCGTAAGAATAACGAGTTCTGTCCACGTCAAGAACAAGAAGATCATTCACTTCCGCTGCCGATGCGAGCACTTCGTTTTCATGCACCACTCGATACTCGACCCTCTGTACCCCTGTCTCCTCGGACTTGAGCGCAAGCCGGACATCTTCTGTCTCTCAATCAGAGGGAGGGTACTGGTTGGCCAAGGGATGGGATAGATTGGCTGAGCAGATCTTTCAGGATATTCCCTCAGCTCTTTCATCGTCAGACACAATGTTCTTTTTAATCTTCTGCAACCCCAACAGACTTTCTGCTCTGATCATGAGATGCCATGGCGCCGCGAATTCGAAAATGCTCTCTCCCCTGCTGTGACTGCCCTCCCTTCTCGAAAGCCGGCTGCTTTTCTGCCAGAGGCAAACTGCAACAAAATAGAGTACTGATGGTTTCCGCCAACCATTATTAGTACTCAAGTGCTGCAATATTTGATCCCGGAGAGCTGATTTCTCAGGAGAACAGCAGCCGAATCGAACGTCCGAATGGTCCCGGGAGTCTGATCGCTTCGTTCCGAGGTGCGTATGATGGGAGCATTTCCCGTTGTCGATTGTGACTCGTGCGGAAGAGGCGGTGACTCGATAATGACATTTGTCATGGGTGTCGAACGTGTCTCTTCGACTGTCAAGCACCTTATGGATTTTCTGATTATTACAGAACGCTTTGGATCATATAGGCTGAAGAATATACTCCGAGGTGACAAACACCCGATAGTTCGACATGGCTTATCCTTTGAAAGATATTCAGATTCCGGAGGATGCAAACAAAGAGTTGTTAATCGCCAAACACACGAAGTATCTCTACGACTTCGCCGAAAACAAGGATTCCTTCGAATATGTCATGACAGAACACCTTCGTCTCAGCGGGATCTTCTGGTCCATCACGGCACTCGACCTTATGGGAACCCTGCGCGATTTCAATAAGGAGGACATCATCGAAATAGTGAAAAGTTGTCAACATTCCAACGGGGGTCTATCTGCAGCCCCTCGGCTCGATTCCCATATCCTCTACACGCTGTCGGGAGTTCAGATTCTGGTGACGTTCGACGCTTTGAACGCCATCAATGCGGACGCTGTCGTGGATTACGTCTGTTCTCTGCATCAGAAAGACGGCTCCTTCTTCGGTGACAAATGGGGGGAAGTGGACACGAGGTTCTCGTTATGCGCGGTTGCCACGTTAGCGTTGCTGAAACGGTTGGACGCAATCGACATCGAATCTACGACAAACTACATTTTGTCGTGTATGAACTTCGACGGCGGCTTCGGACGTCGCCCTCATTCCGAAACACACGCCGGGCAAGTGTACTGCTGTTTGGCGACACTCTCCATCCTGAACCAGCTGCATCACGTGAACGCAGAACAGCTCGGCTGGTGGTTATGCGAGCGACAATTGCCTAGCGGAGGTCTGAATGGCCGACCGGAAAAACTGCCGGATGCCTGTTATTCGTGGTGGGTCCTCACCAGCCTGGCGATCATCGGTAAACTACACTGGATAGATAAAGATAAACTGAGTGCATTTATCCTGGCCTGTCAAGATTCCGACGGAGGAATCGCCGATCGTCCCGGGGACGAGGTCGATCCCTACCACACCAACTTCGGTTTGGCAGGACTGTCTTTGTTGGGAGAGAACAGATTGAAAAAGATCAACCCGGTATTTTGTCTGTGTCAGGACGTTATCGACCGATTGAAGCTGAAGCCCCAGATTCTCGACCCTTGAATATATTAGTGAGAAGATTTCCTTTATTATTGCGAAAGTGGAGTTCGCTGCGGATGGGGGGTTCTCCTCATGGGAACTAGGAGAAAGCAGCGAATCGATTGACTTAGTGGGTGATATATTCATCTATTTATTCCTCATCCTCCCGGTATGTGCGTCATAAAAAGGAATAAAGCGACGAAACTGCCAAAATCTTCCCGTGCTCCTTTCGCGGCTATCTATAGAGCAACCTGCGATATGAATAATCTCAGCTGCTTCACATCAGACCCCAATCCGTGTAGGTGAATAGCTTGAAGTCATACTTTCGTACGTTATTATCATAATTGATGTGAAGGTTGCATCCTTCACAGAGGAAGGAAGGATTGAGCGGCAGTTTGGGATGATCTTCCACCGCCCATTGCGCTGCTCGTTTCCCGCACAGCTGACATAGGGTCCGCACCTGAAGGTTGTCAGGAGCAACAGAAATTAGCGATGATTCCCGCAAGCGCACGATTGCAATGCATTGCCATTCCTCTTGACCGACAAGTATATCATCCTGTGCAACAGTATCTGAGGGGCTACTCACAGATCTGTGAACGAAGCTCTCCAGCAACATGGGATAGTGGTTGACGTCGCAATCATCTCGCAACAGGGAGTGCATTCTGAGATCGTTGATGATTACGTGATGTTGACAGTCCCCGTTGTGAATATATACGTACGGCTTCCCGAGGCAAACAGTTATCTCTGAAAAACTGAGACAGAGGGACGGTGATCGGAAGTCTCTCCTTGATGACCGATACGGCGCGAATTCAGGGCTCTTCAGAGCGAACCTACCAGACGCTGTCTATGCTTCTCACTTCGTATTGACCCACATTGTTCAGCGCCGCCCACTCTCGGATAACATGGGGGTAATCCCAATCATTGGTGTAGAAAACATTCTCGATAAAGAGCGCGAACCTGGGGATGTACGAGGAGGATGCGTTCCATTCTGGCTGTACTTATTTCAGATCCAAACCTTCGAATCCATCCAAATTGCTAAATTGTATTACATATTCCTCATTCTAAGCATTCGAGTATCCGGACTCGAATCGGTGATCTGCAGAATTTTATTCAATGAGCCCCTATCTTGGCGTGGGCGCCCTGAGAGCCGCGGAGGGAGAATAAAAAAAGTCTCACCCGCGGAGGGTTTCCTTCATTGGCTTGACTGACGCTCGAGCGAAGGGTTCGTCGCGGAAATCTCCGGGCCGTAACTCGTCGTGCTCGCATTTGAACCTGAATGGCGATTCGTTCCGTCAGAATATGCTTCTGGCAAATGATTCTATATAGACAGAAGCTCAGATGGGTAGAGGATGCCATGTACCTATAAACCAAGCTCCGGAGGGACGTCTGTCCGAGCACGGCGAACTGCCCGATCATGTGCTTGAGGTAAGGCCCCGAAGCCGAGGGCAGTAAATAGCTGATTATCAAGACAGCCTCGACACCTTGGATGTCACATGACTTGACGGTTTCGGCGGATTCCTTTTCGGGGAACTTCGGGAGTTTGAGATCAACTTTGACGGCGCCGGTTCGCACTGCTCGGAGCGCTCTGGAGCGCCACGGCTCGCTTTGCTTCATGTCCCTGGGGGGGGGAGGGTGGTGGAAATGATAAATCAGATGTTCACAAACCAGGCGAGAGCGGTCGAAGCTCCAGCTGCTCTGACAGAGCAGAGGTATCCTTTACCGGGACGGGCGGTATACTCACTCTCTCCGGTGATTCACAGACGCCCACTCCTCCGTCTCGGGCATGATTGTGGAGTCGATTTCCTCATCACCACAGAGGAGATTCTTCGGGTCCATGGTAAATTTCAGGGAGGTCATTGTTTCGTCGTCCAGACGCATCAAGCTTTCCAGTGTTGCTTGACGATCTACCTCCTGTTCGAAACAGGCGGATTCTTATCATTCTAGATTCTCGAGTCAAGAACGAACAGAAATCCCTGTGAGCATATTTTTTGATGTTCCTCCGAGTCACTCACCCCTATCCTGCGGTAAACCAGCGTCGATCCATCCACGAAGCCATTCTTCGCGAATTTCGCCACGAAGTCAGAAACCTTTATTGGTTCGGACCACGACTCCACAGCCACCGAACAAGGGGGTTTCTGCTCGAGAGAGCTTGTTTCTGGGTACTCGGAGTCGTAGTCCACAGTCTTGTCCATGATTGCATCGATGCTTCAACCTACGAATTGGAGTTTCTTGCGTCATTTCTCGTCCTCTGGGATCCAATGGTCTGGTGAATCGAGATTCTCATTCATGATCATAGGAATGGCAGGGTGATCGTTGCACAGAAACGACGGAAAACCATCAATAAAAACACCCGAACGTAAAGTACATCCATCGATATTTATTCTCCAGAGAGCCTCAAGCAAGGAATTCGCTCATGAACCGGAAGCTCTCCAGTGTTTACATATCGAGTGTCCAACTATTCTCAACCAACTTCTTTCCGCTGGCATTGCTCGCACGGAGTGCATGTACAAACCGGATAGGCTAGTCTACGTAGATGATTCAAGTCATTCTCAACTAACAGATGAGCTATCGCGGAGCAGTTTCCGCGTCGAGCAGCGAGTAGCCGATTTGGAACTTTCCCCCTCGAGCGATGTCAAGAGGAGAAAGCGCGCTCATAACCCTATCCGAAACCTAGGTACCTAAAGAACTCCTAGTATGCCTTTTTTCTTGGAGTTTTCGTACTTGATCTTTTGGAACTCGATGCCGTCGACGATCTGTTTCGCCGTTCGGTTCTGACCGTAATAATCTATGAAATCTCCGTCGGGACCCACAAGGTACATTATGACCGTGTGATCCACAATGTAGTCCTCTTCCACGTCCGCAGGTCCCTTACTGAAGTACACTCGGAAGCTCTTACTGGTCGCATTCAACTCCTCCTGGGTTCCCGTCATACCTAAAATCTTCGGGTGGAATTCAGCGAGGTACTGCTTGATGGCCTCCGGAGAGTCGCGCGCGGGATCGACCGAAATGAAGAGGGCTTGCAACTCGATTCCCTTCGTCTTGTCTTCTAGCAAATCGATGACCTTGGCCATTTTCTCCAACTCGTCGGGGCAAATGTCAGGACAGTGGGTGAAGCCGAAGTATATGAGACACCATTTGCCTTTGAAGTCTTCGCTTTTCCTCCTTACACCGTTCATGTCGGTCAATGCGAACTGACCTCCGATTTTGGCTTTTCCCATCTCGCGCTTCCGCTCTTTGTCTAAGATACTCTGTTTTTCCGCTTTAACGTAGAGCATAGACCCGAGAAAAATGCCTCCGAGTCCGGCAGACACGAGAACGGAGCGCCATGACATGAAGAAAAACTTGTTTTTCTTTCCTTTGTCTGACAGGTATCGGTACGACGACACGCGTCCCGGACACGCCAGTAAGCTTCTGCCAACATTGCTCATCGGTCGCTGCAGCAATCTCAAGAAGAATGCCATCGTTGAGAACTGCAACGGGACCGGAAAGTCGAATTAGCGAGATCAGAAACACGACGAGGGCATCCGGGGGATAGAGGACTCTTTGTTCTTCTCTGGGGACTCAGTCCGAGCCGAAAACTATCTGCCCGAGTCGTGTCCCGACCACGGACTAATTGGTTCCGGGCAGGTCTTCCGAACCGAGGCTAACTTGCGCGTTGCCCTTGTTGTCGACGCAAAAGCTGTGTCATTCCTCCCACAATCTCTTGATATAGAGTGCGCGAACCGTCTTTCCGTACGGGATTCTCAGACGGAACGAGCGTGTTTCTCCATCTAATTTTGGAGCATAGTCCGTTCAAGCGGGCTGTAGTCTAACGCTAAATCAACTCACGATTCTGGACGAGCTCGATTGATGTCCTCCGATATCGAAGTCACACAAAATCGAATCGCTCTGGAAGTTCGATGAGGTTGACCGGTTAGAGTAGAGTCGCGAGTTCAGGCGGCACGTTTGTCAAGGAGTTAAGGGATGGTGACCTTGGGTTGATGCGTCAGAATAATTGGTCAATGGTCTGAACAAACCTTGTGAACTTCCAAGCAATGAAGTCGCGCTTTGAAAAAGACCAAGTCTACGGTCTAGAAGCATGCGTGGATTCTTTTGGGTGTTCTACCCAAACATCCCATCCGTCGTCGGGAGGTCTTTAGAGAGCATGCGCCGCATTTCAAAATGGGGGAGAGTAGCTCTCCGGAGGGGGTGCTCGAATGTCATAGTGTGTAACTCTGATTATTGCCGTCGCAACTGTACATAGATTACGCGTGATAGCGCGACATGTCGAGGGAACAAGTCGAGATGAAGAGTCATTTTGTGATGAATAATGCCACCACGGGCAACACCAGCGTTCTTTAGGTCATTCTCAGGAGAAGATGCCTGTCGAAATTTCATGGAGGGGAGAGGGCGCCGCGCCGGGGCTTCATGATCGGAATCGGAATGGTCCCCGGGCTTTCGCTTGTCGCCGATTCATTGATCGTTGAGGTGAGCTACGGAAGTTCATCAATATTAGACTTTGACCAGACGGAATAATCTCAATACCAGCCGTGCGGGCGCTCCGCGCCAATCCTTATTTTGCTGTATCTACAGGCATTCACAGGAGTCACCATGTGACAGACTTTGGCGCATCATTCCAAGTCGGCCGACGGGAATGCCGTCGAAACATTATACCGAGATAATTTGAGTTTGCGCACTTTGACATGTTTCGTCAGTTTTCCACCCGTGAGGTTCTAAGGGATCGAGTGCCCCATTGGACTATTCGTTATCGGTTTTCGCCAGATCTACGATCCGAGAAAAAATGTCACGGACAGGATCCTAAAGCAAAGCTCCTCTTAAGCAAAGCATCTGTTCTCCGAGGACAACACATTGTTTGTTTCATTCAATGTTAATTTTCATTTAAGGGGTTCACTACTGAGAGAAAGAATTAATCAAGTTGGATGACGTCTTCCGAGGCATTTTTCCTTCTATCCGTCTATCTAGGTGGAAAGAAGTTTCCTTTCTTTAATTAAGTTCTCCGCAACAGAGATACGAAAAATCGAAAGAAGATCAACTTGCATTCTCGTTCTCCGGAAAAATAAATCACCACTGCTAAATGTAAACCTGTGGAGGGCATAGCTAATCGTTTTTGAGCAATCTCGCTTCTGACCATGAGTCTGAAGCCAATCTCGTTCGCAGCCAATGAGAGGACGATGTATCGGTTTTTCGAAGTTTATCGAAGAACGGCGCATCAAAACGGAAGCAAACTGTCGGCGATTACGGTCGATGAGTGTCCTCATCGGTCGGAATTGTAAAATCCTCGACATCGAATCGAGTACGCTAGCAGTAGAGCGTACTGACGGATGGAGATCCCAGATCCCAACTCACCTCAACCCAATGTGAGCTTTTCTCCCAGCAGGAGAATATATGAATGTCTTCAAGATGGTTCAAAATTTCGCAGGAGCTCGATGATTTTAAGTGGCCGTCTGTCCCAACCATGACCTAGCCAGGTTCAATCAAGTAATTCGAATCTCCTCGGAGAATGTACGTCCGGGAAGGAGCGCAACGAGAGGCTGAGAGAGGACACGAGCCATCAGGGCGACAGGAGCTACCCTGCGCCGCCAGCAGAGATCGCTCAGAAATTGCAAAGGCGTTTGTGGAAGACAGAGACGTTCACGCAAAGCAATCCGAGCTCAGATGAAGCCAATGGAACGATCCACACATTCTCCTGCTCTCAGCCCATGAGGAAACCTCCCAGACTCCCAACTCCAGCTCTTCCAGGGAGAAATCCCAGTCAGGCTTGGGAGGTGGATCGCGGATCAAGTTTACCCGGTTCCTCGGCTTGACGCATTTTGGGCCATCCTCGTAGGAGTTGCCCGATTGACACGTCGAGAGCGCATACTCATGTGTCGGGTGCTCTGGGACCCTCCGTCATCTGATGAGCCAGGTTGCGGAACGGGGGAATCAAAGAGAGACCAGCTCGGATCACCGAGTGATATGTGAGCTTCACTTCTGATGCGACTTGGGTGCACCCGTGGAACATCCGGAAGGAAATACGGGGAGGAAAATTGGTCGTTAGAGAAGTATTTCGCCGTGAGAGTGGGATTGGGGAATGGGTGCCGCACGGAAATCCAGGGTTGGAAAAACCTATGTCGAGGTGTCAGGAGGTGCTCCATTGTGAGACAGGGAACTCGGTACGAGCTCTCCTGACAAACGTTTCGAGGATGCTGCAATCTCGCTGCCGGCTCTATACCATCGAGATCCTTGATTCTCCATGAGCAGAGCCCTCTGACGGCGGGCTTCCTATATAACGTTATTATGAAAAGCGTCTCTTCTGGAGCGCCCATCTCAGAACAGAGACGCAACTCGAGCGCAGAGGGAGGGTCAGGGGGCGAGCCGCGGATTTTCCTTATCTTCCACGGAAAATCTCTGGAGCAGACTGTCCTAGTCGAAGTTGGACCATCGACGAAGATGAACGAGAACCCCAGATTCATCCTTCGAAGAGCTCCTAGGATCTGCTCGACGACGCGATCCCCCGCCGGATGCCGCGGGCAAGGAACGGAAAAGGGTGGCGCGAATGATAGTCAGAGTTGAAATCTTCCGAGGTGACGTTTTTGATAATTAAGATCGTGACGGATTACAGTGATTGGAGATCCCCCTCCGATTATTAGGATTTATCATGCTCTGACCGGCTCCGTTTCCCTTATCAATCTACTCTGTTTGTGCAGCCAATTATGACGACGCAGATTCTTTTCGTATTTGGAATATCTTTCGCGAAAGAATATCTTCCCCAAATGCACGCTGCTCTCAGATTAAAACTCCATAGATCATAATCTGTCCTTATCTTGCCTCCACATTGATTGTCGGAAAATCTGGTCTCGAAAGATTAGGTACGCCCGTCGATACACATAGCTAGGATCTCATCAGTCAGCGAGATGATCATTTTTCATTCCGGAATAATGAAGCTGGCGAAGAAGAAGTGTGCGCGTCAGAAATCTTACCAGGAATCGCGAATGGGTGTCAGCTCGATCTTGAGCCATTGGAAGATAACGACAGCGAGATAAATCGTCTCGCTCTTCTAGCGGAAGGGTGCTTCATGTTTTCGTAATTTCGCTTTGATAAAAAAAAATGCTCGCTGCCGTTTCAAGCACTTACGTGGTATCCGTATCACCAAGCTCTCAAAAATTAATCCCCTCCTCCGAGTAATAGTCCAATGAAGAAGAATTTACATCCAATCGTCTCCTGCTGATGCAATCTTGATTGCGTTACATAAATGAGATCCTCATCACTCATAAGAGAGACTCCTCCGACTTCGATAGCGAATAATATTCGCTATCAGAAGGCACTATCGAGCTGCGCTGGTGGCTCATGAAGGAGTATCCATGTTGGACTTTCGAAAATTGGAGAAAAATCGTTTGTGAGAGTTTGACACGTGTTTCACAGCAGTGCTTCGAGCATTCGAATTAGGAAATCGTCTGTTCACTACTCTACGGAATGAGCCCATGTCCGCTGATGATTTTGTTGGCGGAGAGTAATAACGTCGATGAATAATTTAATGATGAAAAATCACAAACGTTCCCCACGAATTCCTCTCTATTGAATAAGAGAAAAGCGGACGAACTGTCTGATGTATTCGCTGCATGCTCGCGCTTTTCGAGTGGAAAAGATTTGTACGAAGACTTGTTGTTCGGACGCGGATTCTCGAAATCCGCCCAATGAAAAAAGCGGAGCGATCATGACTTGATAAACGGGATTCTTGGTGTTTCCAGCGCAAATTTCGTTTCCCGAATGCCAGATGCCGGGGCGTATCTGTCCGATTGTGAGCAATATTCCTGACAGATGGACTTTTGGCTCTAACCCGTAGATCAGAGTCCGCTGAGTCAGGCCGCGGCTTTCTGCGGTCCGAGACGCAATGTCCCGACGGGCCAAGGGGCGGACGACTCCGACCGGCCAGCCTCTCGATCGCTCAAAAGTCGGCATTGTCTTATTTCTGCCGTAGGATTTGCGTTGTCCGCCGTCGTCGAGCAGCGCTTGTTGTTAGGTTTGACCGATCACCGTAAAATGGCTACTGATACGTGACCAGAACGCGTCGTGTTCAGACCACGCCCCTAACGTACACGACATTTTCGGACCGGGGACCACCGTCGCGATCTCGGAAGTCGAAGATTAGATCTATCTTGAAGGGTTATTAAAGTGTCGTTAGCTCTCTACATATGCTGGGACGAGCGATTTGAACAGAAGCGACAAACAGAGAAATCTTCATTAGAAGCTACCTACGGCTGAAGCGAAACATGCTTTCTGGCTCCCCGACGTGTTATGATTTATTTCTGTCGGCATGCGATAAATGATGGCCGATAAAATTGATTCGCGTCGCACCGGATAAATATGAGCTGCTGATTTGACTCCCAGATTGAAATTGAAGACAGCCTTCCTGCCGGGATAATGTCTCCATCGAGTCCACTCGGAGTGTCCGTGAACCTGGACCGCACAGAAGCGACTTGAATCGCGGGAGGAACCGCCGTGTTTACTTTCGAGAATGGGCATCCATTCAGAAGATTCTCGATGATGGACTTCGCAGAGCGCGGTGAGAGATTGATTCGTTCCGAACTAAAGATGTGAAACAGATCAGTGACCAGAAAGAGACGAAAAGAGACGCGTCAAGACTGAATGACAGGAGCTCCCTGAGCGTCTTAATTATAATATTGTGACGAGGCGATTCGAGCTGCAACCGAAAACCGGTGAAGCTGTCACTTCGGCGATGCTGAAATGCATTTACACGGACGCGCGCACACTCACGCGCATACGGACACCGGGGTTAATAAAGTTGTCGACAGAAATGACCGCCAAATGACATGTCGTTGTCGTCGACGTCTTTTCCCGAGTCATCACAGTCGGTACATGGAGCGACCGCGCTGGGCTGAGGTGCAAAAATGAAGGATTCATTCGAGACCGCAAAACCGACGATTTCGCTGTCCGCTTATATCAACAGAAGACGCAGAAAACAAGTCGAAGAAAGAAGGCGAAAACAACTCGTTCGACGTTGATGAGCTGGGCTTCTTCTATCACCAGCGGAGCACTGAAAAAAGGAGTGTCAGTTCGAGTGATGTCCACTTTCCATGTCATGTTCTAGTCGTGATCGCTTGAGATTTTCAACTTGCTCGTCGACTTCTGCAGGTGAGTTTGCGATCATCGTTCGTCAAAAAGTGTTCAGCGGAGGAGCGGACGGATTTCGACGGCCAGCTATGAACAAGCGGATCGGGGAGAAACGCCTCACGTTGAGCGACTCGTGGAATCCCATGGTGATGATGATGGTATGAATCGAAAGAAATCCGAACGACGCATGCGGGTGCTCTTGGGAGGAGTTCACAACCCAAAATAAGAACGACTCAGAAAGTCGTTCACGTTTATTACGACTGGTTCAGTTACTGCTCCGATCTTCACGGTTATTCCTGATCGTTAGCTATCGCGAATCCTCTGATTTGCTCAGTCATTACGAGTAGTCTCTTTCAGGGCAATAAAGAGTACTGTTCGGCATATCATTAATGGCTAGAGCCCGATTCGGGCTTCAGAAGTTCAGCACGTTTTCTCTCAACGCGGAAAACGGCTCGCAGCGTCGAGTCTGGTTGTCGAAACCTGAGAGAGATCAGGATTACCATGAGGATTGTGTAATCCGTCAGGGGCTAAGCCAAATGGATTTCGGATCAGTGTTTCTGTTCTCGATTCCGCAGGGAGAAGCTCTCCCTGTTGTATCGAACGTCGAGTCGCGACCCCCTCGACCCAAGCGGAATCGTCGGACACATAGACGCCTCCGATTTTCAGTGGCTGGAAACGTCGGCTCCTAATTGAGACAAAAACCGCTGATTCCCCTATCGGTGAGATTAACTCAAAGCATGAGAGGCTAAAAGAAAACTTCCCGATTATCGGTGCTCGGACCCTTCCGAAGGAGACAGACTCGGCTCCATCGTCTGCTCGTTTGTCGGTGCGCAGCCCCGCTCGGTCAGACGATAGGTATCTCTACCTATCTGACCGTTCGTCTGTCTGCCTTCCTGGGCACCGTTTCTTAGCTTTCCATGCCTCCGTCTTCGTTTTCCGTGGGAGACAACATCCTCAAGTCGGAGCAATTCTCTATCAAGAAAATGTCCTCATACCGTCGATCGATACGCCACTCATCATCGTATGGGTTCAAGGAGCTCATCCTCGTCAGATGCACACTCCAATGATGACAGAGCTGCGATTTGGAATCGCACATCCGACAGTCAGCATTTGCAAAGTCTTCCATGCTCCGCAGTCTCCCTTCCGATTGCTAGAGTATCTCGCTCTGGAGGATCAGGTTGACATCGATGCAAACTGCGATCGACGCTTACTAGGTGAGACACGTGCCTTCGCTTCCTGCTTGAGTCTTCGTTCGATTTGGTCTCTTAAGCGCGGGCCTCGTCCACAAGCGAATTCATGCAGGATAATGACTCTTCGAGCGTGATCGGTAAAGTAGAAATCGCTCGGAATCCGGCTAACTATCATGACTACGTCATTCCGATATTCCTCGATGCATCATGTAGGCATTCTACGACGCCTTCGTCACGAGGAGCTCCATCGCTACCTCAGTATTTACATTTCGCACAATTATGAAGGAGAAAAATATCGCCCTTAGGGGACAGAGCAAATACAGCAGCGCCTTCCTCTGATCGTCGTCTCACAGATCATTTTCACGATAAGTTACGTTAAATTGTGTAACGGCGACCGTGCGTGACTCGCCATATCTCGGGAGCAATCTTATTGAGTCCGTGATTCTGTATTGATGGCACGACTCCGTAATGGAGCCGATCTAAATAATTTCGTATCCTCCTTCGCCTAATGATGGCAGTGATTCGGGACAATACGAGAAAACCGTATTTCATTGTATATCTTATCGTATCGATGCGGTGGAAAAATAAGGATGATCGGAGGGAGAGAGCGTCAACGAGGTGTCTCTCGGCTCCCTGCGATCCATTGCAGCCAAGCTCCCGCCTCCCTTAACTCGCTCACGAGCTCCTCGTGATTCGGAGTAAATTTCATCCGCAAATGAGAAGGATGGCTTTCCTCGTGAGGAAAACCGTGTTGTCTTCGACCATGGAAAAACTGGGAAACCGTCCCGGTAGCGCTTTCGGATGCATGAGAGGAGTGTTTCGAGGCAGGAGTCAGGGTAGAGTTCGGACCCAAACCTTTTCCAGGAAATGGTTTCCATAACGTTTTCGGACACAGAATCTACCCAATCCCTTCCGGGGCGCATTGGATTGCTGTGCCAGGCTCTGCAAATGGTCGACGAACTTCCATATACGACCCAACGTCAAAGAAGCAAACACATGCTGGGCGGAACAAGTTGATTGGTCCATCCTTGTGTCTGGCTGGCAGGGTTTAGTTTTCTAGTTCAACCGGATGACTTCTTTTTGTCACTCTGGGTTTGCCGAACTCCTCTCTTAAAACAATTCTTTCCCGTTCCCCGCTTCCTACGTCTCAGCACTTATGTTGAGTTGCCTGGCCTACTAGGTGAGCTCTTCGATAGGCCTTGTCTTCAAAGTTCGGGACTCCCGCAGAGCCCTGTGGGGAGATCAGCGAGTTCCTTATGACACGGAACTCATGACGTGGCGCCCATCATCGAGCTAGAGTAGGTAAGTTGATTGTGTGGGCGAAAGTGGGATGCGACCAGTACTCTCGGTCCAGACGGCGAGTCGGTAGTCTGACAAGGTCCTGGCTGCACATTTCGGGCTGTGAGAGCAGAGATAGAATCGGTGGATCTCCCAGTCGAGGCTTCTCCTTCGTCCGAATCCGCGTTTCCCACCTTCGGACAGACCGCGGGATGCTCCGGGATTTGCGCATGATCCAAGAACCGATCCGGGCTCGGATGATTCACCTACTTAGAGCTACTCTGAATGAGCTGATAGATGCTATTTCGATCTGTGATGTCGCCCCACAGCGGAGATCTGGAAGCTTAGAGCTGAAGACCATGATCAAAGCGAGTCTTTTCGGTAACGCCCCCTCTTCAGCGTTCGGGCCTTGATGATTTAATCGGACATCAGAAACTTCGGAGAGGAACTCCGGAAGCATCCGAAAGAGAGCTGTCGAGCCAACTTGCTTGTGGTTGACGGAAAGCCTCCGCGGAAACAGACTAGCGGAGGTTCATATAGATGAACATGTTCACTTCGACGATTGATCTCCGAGGAGCCCGAGAATTATGTTCAAAGGCGGGAAACAACATTATCTGTCGGAACGAGTACCCCACATCGCTCGACGAATTCTCCATTCACCCTCGCTCCGATTCCGGCTCTCCAGAAGAGATACCCGATCCGATCGGTCTTCATTGCTGCCGACGATTCGGTGATTCTCGGGGACTAGTGAGAACATGACCTCCAGCAGTGAGAGGTTGATTCCCATCGTATATTTTTTTTGATCCATGGCTCGTTCTGTAGGGGAATGTGAGGAGCTATCACGATCAGATCGATGGCGTCGCGATGCCTGTCTCGATCGAGATTTGCTCGGTCTCCCCGCAAAATAATTTCAAAATGAAGCTCGAACGTATGCGATAATGATGCAGCTTCCTTTCCTCTCGGGGCGGATAGCCTCGGCGTCGCTAGCTTGGAGGGATCGCGGCTTCCTGTTGTCTACGGCCGCGGCCCTTGTGGTATTCCCCCCTGGGCTAGGTTGGAGGCGATCCCGGGGATCGGATGTCCCCCTTCCGATTGTTTGTAGTCCAGCCATAGTCACACAACTCGCTCGAATGCTTTGTCGAAATTCTGGGGACATATCGCAATTATTCGGCGCTGCTGGAGCAGCCGAGCCACCGCTCGAGGAAGCTTCTTCCGATTCCGAAGAAAACTTGAGTTCTGGAGTTGCGGAGAATCATCTGACTGTATCATAATCCAGACTTCATCGTTTTTCACACGATCGCCGAGGGAATAGAAGCCGTGCGGAGAGAATTGGAGCGCTGAAGCTTCATCGTGCACACAGATGGTCTGGATCCTGCCGCAGGAAGAGCGTGAATTTTGTTTGGTCGAGCAGAACATCGGTTGCGAGCGGCAAAATAACCCATATGGCTGGAGGACCGCCACTGGAACGACTGCTGGGCGAATTCGGCTTTGGCAATTCGTATTGGCTCTCGTCCACCTGAGTCGTTTTGCCTAAGGCTCTGTTACAGAGACAAAGAACCTTGCAATTGCCCTCTGTTCCGCCCGGGGCGCGATCAAACCGATGTGGACGAGCAACGGCGAGTCTTCGTCGGATGAAATTCCAGGACCGTTTTGAATCTGGAAGCTTTTTGGGGTTTCCGGTGTCCGGTCGCTCCCTCGTTCCCCAATCGCGGACCGAGTGAGTATTCCTCATGAAGTCTCGCTAACGAGCTGCGAGACTTTTCTGGGATAGGGTCTCTCTACAGGTGGATTGTGGAGCGACGCAGCTGTCCACAATCCACGGCTCGCGAGCTAAATTCCGCCGAAGGCAAACTCCCCACTCTCCCAAGATTTCCTCACCCATCGCTCCTCGGGGGAGAGGGCAGGCAGCTCCTTCGACCAGATGAGGCAGTGTTCGCATGTCAGCGCGACGGGTTGCGTCGCTCTGCTTCGTGAAGCCGACTCGCACGTGATAGACTCTGATTGATTTGCTGTTGTTTCGCTACGGAGTTGGAAAGAGTGAAGAATTCTAGGTCGAAAACTTGAATCGGATGCCAATTAATGTCTCGGGCGTCCTCGTGTGAAAGTAGAGGAATGCCGCATCATAGTCCTGCCGATTCCCCGGTGCCCAGTCCTCACAACCTCGTTCACAACGGTAGGAACGTCGTCAACAGGTGGGTTTCCGCAATTAGACGTTGAATTGGAAAGTGTCCCTCTCACACCCGGCTGAGCTGGATGATCGATCGTATCCAAGTGTTGCTACCGTGGGATTTTCTTTCGATGGACAATAATTCGAGAGTACGGAGAGAGTTCAGAGCAAGGTCCGGCACCGCCAGGTGCACTCTCGCCAGCGCGTGGTTCATTACGTTATCCTTCGCTAATTTGAAGGAGCGGAGATTCTGGATATTGTTTCTCGATGACCATAACTCGATTCATTTGAGAGGAATTCACTTGATCCTTCAATATCAATTTAAGGAACAAGATTGATGGTGTGCGCAAATTTATCTTGTTCGACGGTCACAACAGTTCAAGTTTCTATATTCCGCTCCAAGATAAGTGGCTCACCTGCGGCTGTTTCTTAACCTCCTAGGTATCCGACAGAGACGCTAGCACATCATAAATTTGGCGTAACGAAATTATCTTGTCAATAGAACGCCGTACGTGTGTCCCTTGAAACGATCGTCCCCTGCTGCAAATGAGGGATCACAGATAGATGATGATAATATCAATAACTTGAAGCTACATTTCGATGTCCTCCAGAGCATAAGCGCTCCGCGGCCAAAATGTGTTGAGATCACCGATATACTACCTGAAGCCATCGGTTTTTCTTGACTTCCTAATCCTAGCCTCACCCACGTTCCCCCAATCCACGGTATCGTCCCCCGCAGCGAGAAGGTTGAGTAGTTCCAGAGATCAGGAGTCTCCATCGCACGATGATTGACTTGTGGATAGGGGGATCCGTCCAGCTGATGGAATGGACGTCGACCGCATGGAAATTTTGGACGGTCGCCAGTCAAAAAGCTTGCTATCATGAGAACGAGTCGAGCGGCATGGGTGTATATCCCGTAGAAGCGTATAATCCGCACTACTGAAGTCCAGCCAGATCTGTCGCACCCGGAGGAGTTATCTCGGGAGGGCTCGAGAAAGCTCTTTCTTCGTCTACCGAATTTCTCATAATTAACTCCAGTGTCGGACAAACTTTCCCAAGTAGGTTACGCGGATTAGTGTGTTGTCGTACGAAACGGAATTCTAGCGCAGAGCCCCTCAGGGTATTCAGCATACGAGGAAGGTCTGAGGGACCTATGCAAATGAAGCAACGATTTCACTCGAAGCAGCTCGTCAGAAAAACTGAGAGGGCTCCCGAACAGGGACGAGCGCGGGGAGAGATATCGGCTCACTCGGACGTTACCAACCTGCCGATATGCAGTGAATGCTATCAAGCAGATCTTTGAGTGTCGAGAGCAGAAAATTCTGCTCCTCTAGAAGAATAGACCCCGACGATAGAGAGTTGGACAAACAATAAAGCGCGGTACCGCCTCCAAATCGGCGGATCCACAAACGAACGTTATCTCCGTTCTCGCCGTTCCTGCTAATTGTTCTCTCGCCGCTCTCTCCGTTCCACCGGCTTGATCTTCTAGCTTCGGCTCCTCCATCCTCCGCGACTTCATGTAATTGAAGAATCTGAAGAATGGCACTTTATTCCTACTTATCGACTGTGCTGCTGCCACGGGAACATGGTTGTTAATTAATTCTAGATAATTGATGCAGCTCGTCTATCATTCAGCTCTTCAGTATCGTCCGACGAGTGTCCGCCGTCTGTCCGGCCCGGAGCACCATTGTGTATCGGTGGCTTTTGTTTGAGTTCGAAAGCCTACGATCGCCGTTCACGGCTTCTCACGGACAACAACGCGATAATGTCTTCTCGTGTGACTCCTCGGGAAGTTATGGAGGCTCCGGCTTGTCAGGCGTCATTGTCTCTGCGTTCGGGGCTCCTCAGCCATTTGCGATCGAGAGCTAATTATTATGCGTCCGGGAACGGTAATGCCGTCCGCGCGTTTGTGCTAGCCCCCCGTTCGATGCGACTGACAATAGGAACTCAACACTATTCGGGAGACCTGTCCTCGCTCTCGGGATCGTTCTGGAACGTCGTTACTCGCGGGTCAGCGTACGGGTGTCGTGTTTTTTCTCTTTTCGACCAACAATCCCGTAACGCAAATAACTCGATTCCACCGTACGCCCGCCATGTCGCGTTTCTAGTCGTGGTCCAGAAACGCCGCCGCCTCGAATAAAAAATTGAAAATGCAACCAACTCGGCTACCAAATGAAGAAGCGACAACGGCGGCACGGCGACATCGGACGCGCCTTATCTTCTTTCGTGCGGTGTTACTTGATAACGCTCAGTTACGGCTGGAGCGTTTTGCGCTACTGGGACTGCTCGTTCTCCTGCTTCTGATCTATCTGAAGCGCGGCGGCGGCGGCGGCGCGACGTCTGCGCGGCAATGCAGGCTAGGTCGCCCGTCCTACGGATTTCGCGCATGGCGATCAGTGTGAAAAAAAAGAAGGAAGAGAACTCTGCAGAAGTGTTTTCAGCCGACGACTTATCATCGACAGTCATTGAGCGATCACCGGAAAATTTCTCGCTATTTTCGTGACGATCCTCTCGATATTCGGAAAGCTCATCGGCAGAACAGATTAATCGTCGACTATTGATGTCGGCGCTCGCAATTGACAGGATGAATTTGAAACGAATCCCAGTGAGAAATGCCGTAAACGAGATGATCTTGCCGATTATTCTACGGCGGCGATTACGACCTGATACGGGGGATAACGAACGCCGCCAGAAGCGTCAATGCTTGCCAGCGGGGATATTTCGAGCGTGGATACTGATTGAAATCTATCCGCTCCATTAACCCTTTTCTTCTTCCGATTGACCACTGCGAGATTTCGGAAAGATCACACATCGACGGCGACACTGACCGGCGCGCGTCGTAATCAAAACAAGAGCCGGACGAATGCGACAATGACAATTTACATACAGAACGCCGGTGCGGCGTCAACGACCAGAGCGGTGAGCCTCTCGCTCGCGGAGCTCCGACACCGCTCGCTCCGAAAATGTGAGCGTTTGTCTCTGCAAAGTCGCATTTATTTTCAACACTCGAGAGATAGACGATCCGACGAGCGAGCAAACTAGCGTAGGCAGACAAGGAGGCATTCTGCAGACAAACTGGCGTGGAATCTGTCGAGCTGGGTTTCGCTTGAGGCGGGCAGCGATCCAGCCAGCTCGTCCGTTGGTACTAGGCTGCCGGCGATTCCCTCCAGGAAGTTTCTCCTTCTCTCTCGGTCCCAGTGCTTCAAAGTCGATGCTACTCTCCGCCTCGGGCACAGCCTGGGGGGGTCGCAAAGGCTGCAGCCTCACTGACTGACTGACTGACTGACGGTCGGCTAATAGGGAATATCATGGAGTTGAACTGTGTTTTTTTCTCCGAAACGCCCCGGCTTCATCCCATCGCAATGCAGACTATATCTCTCTCTCTGACATTCTCCTTGACATGCAGCGCACGTCTCGAACTGGAAATATCTCGCAATCGGTTCGTACTCATGACCAGGCGAGAATCGAAATCACGAGCGCTTAGAGATTCGTAATGGTCGGGATTATTGGTCTTCGCATGCGAAAAAATCCCGCATCCTTCTGGTCTTGGAGAGATGGAGCCATGTCACAGTGGCCTGACCAGTATCTGGCTTTGGGATGAGCGGCGTGATGCTCCTCCTTCGATAGATGATCGAAGTCACCGGCGGATACTTCATACGAGAAGATTCCCCTTCAGCGTACATCTGACGTTTGACAGATGGTGTTCGAGCGGCAACGCATGGAAAATTTCGTTATGGAGATTCTCCGTGAGAGACTCTCGTCAAATTTACCACAACGTCAGTTGCTGTCAGTCTTCTAGTTGACACCCAGACACCTTTTCCATTGGAGCTCGTCAGTTGTCAAGACGCTCTTGCCGTCGATCCGCCATCAGCTGAGCCTGCCGGATGCTTTATAATCGGATTCATCTTTGTTGCCGTGGCCGCAGCCGATGAACCACATTACGTTGGTTCGTTGACTGTTCGTTCTATCCATTGGCTGTTCGTCATTGGTGCACCTCAGGCGGGCAATGCTCAGTAAGGGCGCAGAGAAAGAATGAGCCAGCCACTCAGTCGGCCGAAACGGCTTACTATTACGATCACTAAAACCGAAGCAATACTAAAAAAAATAGATCTGTGCAACAGAACAAAATACAACTACCAAAAGCACACTGCCAAGAATACCTGCTGTGACTAAGAAAAATCGAAGCGTTCGGAACAGCGGGCCAGCGAGGCGAGTGCCCATAGAATCACAATCTGAGTCTTAAATTGCTCACCGACGAACAGAAGGACCGTGCTGACTACCATCGATCTAAGAGAAACGCATCGAAAACTCAGTGAATTCGAGTTGTTTTACCACTCGTGCTCCCAATCTTCGCCTGGATTAGCCGGGTCACACGGTGTCTCTGCCAGAGACCCCCGCTGTTTATCTCCCACCGACCACAGAGTGGCGCCCATACGCAAAAGGACGGCCAGTTCCGCAAATAAATAGTTCACCTAGCGTGAACCCTTGCTCGGTGCGCTCCGGACCGGTCAAGTCGAGCGACGTATCGTGTCGCACGAAACACCGGGGCACGCGACGGGCCGAAGATTAGTAGCTTCGCCAGGGCTTCATATCTTTATCTCCAGCGGGCCACTGTGAGACGCAACCGTGTGGACTAAATCAAATTGACTACCGACCAATTGGCGATTTCTGGTCATCGTTTATTGCAGAATGTCGTGTTCGCACACAGCGAACGATGGGACGTCTGTTGGTGCATTCGAGCTAGTCTGTCCACCCATTTGTCGGTCTGCGCGTGCTCCTCTCAAAGTCTGCAGTTTCTGTCCTGTATGCACGGCGAAATTTCCGCAAATTCGCCACGGGGAGAACGTCTGGGCACACACGCAGATCGTTAAACCACCCGAGTCGCGATCGTGTATTCGTTGTCGAGACTCCGCGGAATCCTCGATCGGACATCAAGCTCTTGTTTTCATTCTCATTTTACTTGACTGATTTATGGAGGAGGTGCTGCAACGATGTTTGCGTTACTTCGATGCTGACACAAGCTGT